GGTCCTTTGCTGAACGAAACATGTTGTGGGGCTGTGTGGTAGCCGTGAAAAGTCTTGATTTTGTGTTGCTTCAGGATCTTGCCGATGCGGTCAGTGAGGTTTTTAAGATATCGCACTGTAATAGTGATGGTTTCCTCTTCCTCAGAACGGCTGCGTGCGCTCTTGTTTGGATGTAGTGCTCTCTTTACTTCTTGGGATGAGTAACCGTTGGCTTGAACATTTTCCAGATGACCGAGTTCTTGGTGCAAGTTTTCTTCGCAAATGCATCGGGCGCGGTAGACAAGTGTCTTCATCATTGTCCTCTTTTGGCTTGGGTGTTGGTTGTATCTGACATTTTATTCAGATGTCGGTCTGTGTGGGTGACTTTCCGGAATACTGTATGCCCTAGGGATCAGTCTTCCCTCTTTTTAATAAGTACGTCAAGAAAAAGCAGTTGTCTATTTTGCTCTCTTTCAATAGTCAATTGTTCACGTAGACCACAATCGGGCTCAGTGGGTTTCCCATGGCTACCTCATCTTCCTGTTCGTAGAACTTAGTAGATAGACGCACGAGTCCAGGATGTCCTTAATTTTGTTTTTGCAATCAGTATTGTTCAAAACAACGGTTGCGTTCCTCTTATCGCCAGCAAGAATAATAATGTCGTCGTTGTTAAGTTTTCGCAGTGCTGCTCTCTCCGCGTGGAAGAGGTTGTGCATGGGGGATTTTGCTCCGTGCAGAATTCTAGATGACTCTCTACGTCAGTGGGCAGCGTTCGTATTCCCGGTTCGATCTTCGAGATATCATCCACGGGCACTGTCGTAGGTATAACCGCGTAGTTGCCTCCCTCAGCTAGGAGAGAGCTAGGAGAGCTGTTGATCAGATAGGTTGACCACAGTGCGTTGTAGATCAAGCGTAGGTGGGGCTGTACTGGTTTGTGTAGGCCGATTGTATTAATAGTACTTATTATAGCCATTGATAAGATACTGTCAAAAGGCAACATGGGTGTTAATAATTTCAATTTTATTCCCATTAACGAATATTTGTCATTTTTAAACTGAAGATGGAGGGTACTTGGTCATTATAGTATGATGCAGTAATTATGGAATATTCACTATGGTTTAACATCCAAAACTGATAAAATCTTGCATATGAATAATAAAAATTTCATGTATCCAATAACACAGTTTATCTTAAATGAACGCCAGAATTTGTGTGCAAAAATCTTGCAAAATCTTTCATAATGAAAAAAGTCTAGCGTGTTATGGAATATTTATCCATAATATAGAATAGTGTCTAACTTGCGTACTAACATGGCTCACAACCCTGACCACCAATGGGATCACCTCATACTGGAGCTAAGTGAACTACTTTTTTCTCAATGTCTTTCTTGCATCCATGAATGTTTACTTACAGTCAGAAAACTAATTTTTATTGCTGTTCATTACATACAACTTAATATTATGTAAGAAAAGTTTTGCTAACTTTATAAAAACAAATAAAAAAATTAAAAAGCAAAAACTGGTCCAGTTAACATAAATCTATCTCACTATGGCCGACAGCTTATGGGCCTCATGTGAGGGTTTTGAGTGACTGGTGAATGAGTCCATTGGTTGCAAGAGATGAGGCCAAGGGTAGCACACTCAATGAGTAAAGAGCATGAGTATAGACATGGATTGGACTGGATTTATTTTTGTAAAAAATAAAAGATTAAAATAACTACCACCATAACAGCAACAATTAAAAAGTAGAAATTTTTGTTCAATAATAGAAAACTTATTTGCATCAGTAAATAAACTACAAATTTGATTTTATGATAATCTAACAAAACAGCGACTCTTACCCTTGGTTCTACTCCTACTACAAATAGCATGAGAGTTCAACAAAACATGTGCAGTGAAGCTACATTAATTCCAGAAGCAAAACAAGGGGTCTACTCAACATTTGATAAATGGATCAAGGTAAACTGTACAAAAAATCTCTTCACAATGAGGATCTTTGACCTACAAATTGAAGTACAATTCTCTGTTACAGGTATATTTAGTTTGAGAATTATACAGTACAAATGGTAATGAATGACTTTTTAACATTCTTAAAATAAATATGATCATTTTTGGAGGTCAAATAATTTATTGTGAAAATAAATGATTACTTGGAACTTAAACTAGTGTATCATTTAGAATTGTTTAATGTCTTCTGGTAATGATTTGTAATGAATCATACATGTATTACACATGGATTTCTTGAGAGTGAGGTGTTTATACTGACATCTAAAAAATTAGATTCATATTGAGCTAAAAATAATAAATATCTGCATAGATTTATATTAATTCATTCCCACCCTAAGTAAATCAGCTTTTTCTTCTGTATTTCTTTTCCCCAATTTGTTACATTTTCAATTGATGCAACGCATCTTCAAGCACCTTTGGGGGTGTTGAGCACTTTGCACTTAGGGTTATCCTCCATTACCCCTTTATAAGAAAGAAAGAAGCAATTAATATTTTCAATTCATTTTTGCTTAAGGGTATTTTTAGGGCAGTAAATAACAATGTCCATGTCTAATAGGGACTAAATTTGTCCTTTTGACCATTTAAATGGAATGGTACATATTTGTACCAATGACCTATAAAGGAAACAATAAAACTTATAATCATGGTACAACATAGAACCACATGTAGGGTTTTATTACAAAGTATTTTTACTACATTAGTTTTTATTCAAGTAATATTCTGTTTACACATATATGAATATAGAATTAAAGTTATCACAATACTTTCGCAACAGAAAATGGTTCACCAAATTGAGAATCTTCTAGCAAATGTTCAAAAAAGAAGACGAAAAAATGTTCGTCAAAAAGGAATACAAATTCAACAAAAAAGAAAGTTTATTTTTTAGATTTGTGGAATCGCGAACAACATTCTTTGCATATCACAAATTGCTTTGATCTACAAAATGGAACAAAGAGAAAAATTGAGGTGACTTTTATGATTTAGACCTGTCTTACAGCTATAATTGTTATTCATAAAATTTGCATTTTTTGAAATCTGACAGTTTTCCCGATTTTGTCCACTTGCATTGTTTATATAATGCCATGGAGATACATTCCAACTCTGGAACACTGAATATATTGATTAGCTATCTAAATAAGAAGAAAATGTATAAAGGATATTTATTACTAAAGGATATTTAATTTTTGTTTTTCTATTTCTTTTGAATAGACAAGATATATTGAAGAAACGACATAATTCAGGTTCATCTTCAAGATACTTACTAATGGCAAATGTGAATATACATATTTTTACGGTAAATGTACATGTAGAACGTGTATATTGACATTTTTAAAGAAAAAAAAAAAAAACAACTGTTTTTTATAAGTAACTTCGTAATTATAACTACACATAATATTCAAAGAATTTGTAATCTAATAGTCCTTGTGTACCAATAATATACCAAAAACTATATTATCAACCATATAATTTCTGAAACAAGTACTTATAATTCAGTAAAACATGTATATTCCTGAAAGTATTTGCCAAATCAACTATTTCCTCGATCAATACAATTAAAAACTTCATTAAACGCAAAACACTTTTCATGAGCCGTTGTCAACCCTTCTCAAGTGCACATGGAACAATAATCGCTTTCAACGATTAGTTTAGTTCCTATCGACTGTCAGAAGGTACTAGCACAATATATCTTCAAAAAAGAATGATACAGCAATGTGGTACTCACTTACACCAAGAGACAACACCGCAAAAGCTAATAGTAAAAAGTGGTTCAATAATTTACCAAAGACCTATAAAGGGGTTAACAACAGTGCAGGAGTAATCCTCCATTAATTATTTTATATTGTCATAAATGTCACATCTCATCAGTCATTGTCAAGAGGACCCCCAGGTAGCATCTTCGCATACGCGCCTCCTACTATGCGCTGTGTCACTACCCAATGGCCAGAATTAGGAAGGAATTACAATTGGGGGGTAGAGTTTTGACAAAAACTCGGTTTCATAAATAAATAGGCAAAAAAATGGTAGAATTCCAAGCTCAATGAAGAAAGGCTAGAAGGAATCACATAGAGGCACTTGCTTATTATTCTCACAATTCTTTTTTCTGCAATCTAAAAATCTAAGTACTAAACGATGCGTTTCCCCATAATATGCCTTATCTCTGGTGGAAATATATATTCACAAAATATATGGAACTAGTTCAAGGTTGACTGAATTTTAAAGATTTCTGAATGCATAACATAATGAACTTAATATAGTTTTCAATTCCTTTATACAGATATTCCAATTGAAGTTTGACTGAATTATGACAAGGATGGAATTAGGAATCCAAACAAAACAGTTTCCACTTCACATTCTTGATAATCATATTCAGATCAACCTTCATCACAATCATGTTTGTAAATTTAATACAGCATGTAATGTCAAAACTTGACTTGCTGAGGAGGCTTAGGGCATCAATTGATGTCACTGCATCTGTCCGCATCTGACTGCACTGCTTCTGTCCAGGTCATAGGGTTCAAGTCGCCACAGTGACAGGATTTTTTAGTATTAGTTAGTAAGGTCTAGTTCAGCTGCTGTATGGAGAAGAATTCTAGCAACTGGATGCTTTGACCAGTAGTTTTCCGTGATCAACACCTGGTGAATGCTGGAGCAGTACCCTAACAAACAAGCCCGGCCACTATCCTCACCCTTACTAACACAAACATACATGCACTACACCACACATCAGGGGCTAAGAGCTTGTGAGGTGGGAGACACCTAGATTGGGAAAATTCTGCAAGTGAACGTGTTGGTTGATTCCGGATTTCGCAATCTAGCAGGGTAGAACATTGTTACTTCCCATGATAAAAATTTACACTCTACTTATAGAACTAATTATCATTAAAGTTGATGTGACCAAAAACATAAAACAAACAATCAATAAAAATTTGTACACACACATTGGTTTTTAACGTCAAAGATTTTATAGAATATATAGTACCACTATATTTGTGAGGTGGGGTATATTTTACTCACCTTCTGCAAATAGTACATCATCTTGGGATTTGGGCGACTCATGAAATGAGTAGAGTCAGTAAAAGCAACAGCAACAACTCTCTTTCGAAACTCATCGAAGAATTGTTTGATCTGTTCAAACACAAAAAATGATATTACAAAAACTTCCTCACACCAAGAAATAAATAAATATAAAATTAAACAAAAATTCTCAACATTGAATGTTTTATTTCTTTTTCACGACACATGGAAAATAAATTATTCTATTCATATCAATTTCAATGTGGAAATTCTCAAATGCCACATATCAAAAAACACTGACTTTCAAAAAAATGTTTCTCCAAACACCATTCATTTATGAATATTATCTTGTTCTTAAGGAACTAATGTACAATCTACACAATAGCTTGCCAATCATTAATCTCTGGTAGATCAAAAGTGTTAACTTGGGATACCAAAAGTCGTAATGAATGAATAAAATGGTCTTAATAGAATCAGTTCTCAAGTCAAGAAAGTATCAATTGACAAAAGAGGAACCTCGTGTTTAATTCAACACCATAAAATAATTTTCCTAGTAGTAAATGCATATCAGGCTAAGTTCATAGTTTAATTTAATGACAAAAGGGCCACGCAATGGCGCATTAGTTGGTTAAATATACGTTACATAGCACTTATTTGGCCTCGTTCCACACACTTATCACTAAATTCTGTCAGAGTTTTATCTAATTTTCAGCAGGATGTTATATGGTATCTTGGACATGTTTTTATACAGAGTTTGCAGTCAACTTTGTGGAAATATTCCTTCTTGCACAGTTGGTAGTGGTAGCAGAGGACCACCAGTCTATGACGATTTCTTGATTGTGCCCAATCCAGCTACCGAGTATTATGAGATCCGAAGAATAAACTTCTTCGTCTATTTGTTGTTGTTTTTTTCTAATTATCTCCGACATCGCAGCCCTGTATGTCTCGGTGTATGTCCAGGAAATGTATGTCTTCTATTAGGAAGGTTTCTTTTGTCAAGACATACATTAATTTAGGAGTGTATTTTGAGACATATGCTGCTTTTTTCAGATAGGTGGCCTTGCTTCAATGATCTGCAGATGTGGCCATATTTCTTCAATTTCAAGTCATTATTGGGAGAATTTTTGGATGGAATAGTCACAATGCAGTTTTGATGGATAAGTTCTTAATGTTTTTGATTTGGTTTATTGCAATCACTGCTGCAGCTGCCCTCTCTATAACGTGGTAACTGCAGGTCAATCCGGTTGTCTGTGGTGTTATGCCTAGATATTTGTATAAGCCGACAATTTTTAATACCTGACTTTCCATTGCCTATCTCATTTCCAGCTATTTTGACTCCTTTTCAAAACACTATTAAAACAGTTTTCTCTTTTTACTCTCAGGTCATTCTCTGTTGTCCACTTACACAGGGAGTTCATAGCTTCTTGCAGGTTATCAATATTATTTGACGTTAATACCATATCATCTGCATATAGGTAGAGGGAGACTCCATCTACATCCTCAATATTGCTGCCAACATCTATGAGAGCAATATTGAAGTGTAGTGGGCTCAGGCAATCTCCTTGTAGGACACCGTTGGTCTGTGCGATTTCCATTGATTTTGAAACATTGTCACCTATAGTAATATAGTTAAGGTGAAGGATGTTGTTTATGACTGGGAGAAGGTATTCTCATTCCCCAATCATTAGTTTAATTTCTAAACATGAACATACACTTTTACAGACACAATCTACTTACACATTTACAAAAAAGTTAAGGTCATTAAACTTACCAGCTCCATAACAACACTGCCCCCATAACTGTGAGCAACAACTGCCAAATGGCGAGCTTTTGCTTTCTTTATGTAATGTTCCCATACATACTGAGCATGTTTGTGAGGATCTTCACTGTTCTGTGGAAGCCATTAGAGAAAACATTCAATCGTCTTTTTTTTCATTCCAAATTGTCATAAAGGAAAAATGTTTTAATAAAATGACTTACCTTAATTTTATAATGTCTGCCCTCAATGGTTCGTGAGTTATCATTTGTATTCAGAACCATAATACCATAACCAAGTTCCCGTGCACGATGAATATATGGAAGTTGTGACCCAGTTTTCAGGCTGTCATTAATAATAAGGCTAGAAAACACAATAAATTTATTAAAAGAATATAGCAATTACTTGTATCAATATATCAACTTTATATTCAACATTTCACACAAACCTCCTAGCCCACTGCCCTGCTCGTACAACTCCACTACCATGAATGAGAATAAGCAAACGATCTGGATTTGACAATGCATCCTTTGACACAAATATAAAACTTTTGATATTCTTGTCACCATCACTACTTTTCACTTTATCATCAGACACCGGTACTTCTAATCGAAGAAGCTGGCCTTCTGTTTCAAGAAGCTCATACACATATTTTGTTATAACCTACAAAGAGAAGAAGTATAATTCCACACCCATTTTAATTTCAGGAAGCACAGAGTTTTGCAAACACTCACTTCTCCCAGAGCCTCATAGTGTCTCTGATTCTTCTCTTGATCATTAGCCACATTAAATTCAAATCCTTCTTCTCCAAGTTCATTAGTGTCGGGATGTAATTTCCGCAATTTTCCATCTACAAAGAAGACTATCATTATTCAAAGGATAGGTTAGGGAATAAAGAACATGTAACAGCATTTCGATTAGTACCTTTATTGAAACCATATCCAAAACCTTGCAAAGTATCAGGATATTCAGAACCACTTCGGCCGTCTGCCATTACAACAATAATAAGATACAATGAAAAAAAAAAAATAGATCTGCAAGTTCCAGTTTCAGCCGAAGAAAACCTACAATGAATTGAAAATGTCAAGTTCAAAAATGCCTTGATGTACAACGCAAATTCCGGCTAGTATGCAAAAATAACAAATAAAAGGCTTCACAAACGTGACTGAGTTCGTAAGTTAATCCTTAACATTTATCACATAACCTTTTCACCATAGTATTTTGACGTTCTATCACTCAATATAGCCACAACTTTCCGCGCTCTTTCAAGATTTCATCAACCATGCGAGATCTTGGTTTTAGTACATTACGGCGACATCTAGTAGCAAATACGATAAGTATTCACAAGAAAATATGAAAATCTTGAAATATAGAATTTGTATTATCGACAATCACACTATTTTTTAACCGCAATACTCGAGTAGGAAATGCACAACTTAGCCCATGAATCCTCATGTTCGTGTTCGTTGAGAAGTTCGCATAGCGGAAGAACATTATCATTTTGAATGAGTAATTATAAAATGGCGGCCAATGAGACACGGATGGGCGTGGAGAGCTCTACATTTTTCCTTTGAAATGATTTAAATCTTTGTGACAGTGAGTGAATTTTATCGAAGAAATCGATATCGATACAGCTGATGACCAGTAAGTAAGAAAAGTTTGTTTGTGTAAATTCCGGTCGCGTGAACAGCTGATTAGTCTGTAGGTCAGTGACAGATAAAAGTTTCCCTTCTGTCACGCCTTCAGTACGCTTCGGTTGTCCCTTGCGTATGCGAAAGAAAAGCATGATTTCAACCTCAAACTATGAAAAAAGCTGTTAGAGTTACAATGAAAAAAGTGCAAAAAATTTTCGATCGACGTAAGCCTAAGAACACGAAAGATGGGGATTCGGTGACCCGCTCTTCTGAGGACAGTAGTTATACGAGTACACAAATCGAGGACGGACTTGAAGTAAATGAAGATAAACCTCCTTTCTCTCCCGGAAATAGTACGGAATCTTCTCCCGAGCCACTGGAAGTGTTTCCATCGTCAGAAGATGAAAATAGCGATTATTTTATTCATCATCGGGAAACAAATCGTCGGCGAAAAACTCGAGAAATGAAACAGAATAAAACATCGAGTACTGTCATTCGGAACCACAACGGTGATCAAGAAGGAGCGTGTGGACCTCTTGTTGCGGACTACAAGAATGGAAAACAAGTTGTGCCGTACTGTAAGGTATCCGATAACGTGTGCCAAAGTGTTGTATTAACGTCATGTGGAGAATTAGAAAAGACTTGTTTGCATCTTCCATTGGAACTTCAGGCGAAAATATCGGTAATCAAAGAGAATTTGTTGCGTGAATATCCACCATTTTATGATTTTTGTATAATAGCTAGTGATAACGATTATGATGAAGCTGTTCGGTTTAAAAACTATGTGGCCTCAACATTTGGATTAGCTGGATGCACTTTGGATGATGGTTTTATATCATTAGGTGCTGACTTGTTTGATAGTTACAAAATGATGATGGACCAGAGTACAAAAGTTTTCTTTTTTGTCACAGAAAATTTTACCAGCAGTGCCTTCTGTAAAAGACTACAAAGTGGTGCTGTGTTTCTTAGCCTAATGTCAAAAGCACAAAAAGATAAAGAAAAATGTGTTCCTGTATTTCCTCATGGATTTTGCATGGCTCCTTTGGCTTTATCAGGAATTGCAGGCCTTAATCCAACTCAACGTGATGTGACACGGCGTAGTCTTGACAATACATATTCAGTTATTGTGAGGCAGCGACGACTTGTTTCAGATCGGGAACATTTTAAAAAAAGATGTCTTCAGTTCCATGTAGAAGTTACCAAATGTATAGAAGAAGCAAAATTTGCGACAAATGACATAAATTCTGTGCAAAATAACCCTTCTGTAATGAATTTGCCTGATAATACCAAAAGAGAAAATGTTCTTGCAAGTAAAGCCCCTCCTACACCTGTCATTCAAATGCCAGAAAATGATGAGCTTTGTAGAAAGACCTTAGATCAGTGTCATATAGTTGAATCTCATTGTGATTTAAAATCAGTTGAGAAAGTGAAGAATGGAAGTAAAAAAGTTGAATCTAATAGGCCAGAGCCCACTCTTGCGGAAAAAAAAGTTTCTGTTGAAAACGAGACTAAAGAAGCAAAAAATATTGAAAATGGTGATGATTTTGATGATGATTTTTTGAAAACATTACCTGATGAAGTTCGTGACGCCATGCATAATTCAATGCCAGGAATTTCTGTTAATGATTGTGCTACCGTGCATATTGGCAACACTATTCAAATTTTTATAAATCCAAATTCATCAACTGACTTCTCCAATCTGGAGCACCACATAAATACCAAGACCACAGCCTTTTCTGGAAAGGAAACATCAGAAAATCATTCTGATAGCAGTGACTGATGGAAATTTAATATATTTCTTGTCAATAAAATGATAATGGAAAGAAGTTTCTCAAAATACATGAGTGAAATGTGCCTTAATTTCTGCTTTTATACACTGAATAATCAACATGACAAAAATAAGAGCAGTCATGAATCAAAACTATTGGTATTACAGTGATCAACTGTGTTCTTAATGGCAACTTGAGAGAAATTTTACAAAAAACAGTAGCAACGTATACTGTATTTTTATGACTTTATATTTTATTGAACGTTCTTTTCTTATTTTTTTTCAATAGTTTTAAATAATTTTGAAAGATAAATACGATATTATCATGTTACATTTTTCTATGAATTGTTATTTCTACCAAATTTTGTTTGAATATATTATTCTCTTGCCAATATTTTCTCCATTTGATTGTGACTTGAAATGTTGATGCATGTATAGTCAGTCAATAACACACAATTTAAATAATCCAATCATCTTAGTTCCACAAGATTGTATTGCTGATTTCTAAACCATACCAGTGTTTAACGTGAAGATTCATGCTTTTACTGTGACAGTTCCATTCCACCATTAGCCTAACCTTGTTTTCTTCTTTTAATTATCTTTCTTTACGTCTTGCATATCTGTAATAAACATAAATTCTGCAGTCCTGGCAGAAACCAGGAAGGAACCGTGAAGATGTGTGAAAATAAATGTTGGTTAAGGCGTAATAGGAGTTAGTAATGATCAACTAATATTTGTGCAATTGATATTTGTGATAGTTTGGGTAATTTATATTGAATCCTCAGTAATAGCGTGTAGATGAGTGATTATTTTGATTGAGAAATTGATCAACTATTCTGATAAAATATTTTAGTTCTTAGATCTGAAGTGTTGCATCCTTTTACTACAAAATTGATTGTTTTGTATCCAATTCAAATGTATTATAATTTTTCCTTCTGTAGCAAATTAATTTATGTTTGAGGTTGCATAATTTGGTAACAGAAGGCATTGTTCGCATCAAATGAGAACAATGGTATTGATAAGTTTGTTGACCTTGAAGTTGCTTTAATTGTGTTATGAACACTTTTTGCATGTTACAATTATTTTTTCCTAAATTTTTTGCAATACATTGTGTTCTAATTCTAATCTACACTATTTAGTTTCACACGATAAAATACTTAATTAACTAAATATGTTACATAATTTTATTACACATACACTTAGATAATTTATTCTAATATTGTGTTCATGTTTGTAGACAAATTACATGCAGAAAAGATATGTAATACTGTATTGTTACTTGAAAATGATAAGTGAGCAATATTCAAAGTAGTTATAATTACTTGAATCTATAAAAAATTACCAATGTTTGTGTAGGTCAGTTTGAGGTACTAGTAACTTTTTATGATATTCCTTTAAAATTCAATGAAATTCCAAGAATTCTTAGTGAACTCCAGTTAATTAATCAAAAAGTGAAATGGTCATTAAATGAGCATTTTCTTGTTTATATATTTATAGGTGTGTTATTCTATCAGATTGAATTGATTAGCATTATCTGACTTTCAGATGACAATATTTTGTTTCACTGAGAAAGGAAAATGGCAGTAAATGGTTCTATATTGAAGAAGTCGCTAAGTCATATATCAGAAATGCTACAAAAAACCTTTAAAAAATATCAGAAATCTGGGACAGAGTGTGACAAGGCAAGTCAAAATTTAGAAGATGACTTTGATACATGTAATACTTATGCAACCTGGCCTTCATCTAAACTCCGAACCACCATTGAAGACATGATCAAGGAAATTCTAAAGGAAAATTCAAAGGCTGTTCTTAACGTAATTGATGATGTAGAGAGTGAACTGAATAATGAAATTCCAGCAAATGTTGAAGAACAATTAGATTTTTGCATGATATGCTCACAAGAGGACCAAATAGAGGCAACTGAACTGCAAAAAAGTCTGTGTTCCCAATATGACCTTGTGGGGAAAGTGTTGTGGGAATGTATACCTTTAGGGCGAGACTTATTTAGTGTGTTGGAAGATATAATTAAAAACAGTTCAAGATTACTATTCTATATTTCAGAGAGGTTTGATGATAGCGATGCTTGTGCTTATATTGCAAGAAATTTACTTATGGAACAAGACAAAGATGGTGCAAACAGAAAAGTGATTCCTCTAGTCACTCAATTTGAAACTCCTATTCCCGAGACATTTCAGTTAATAGATAAGTTATACCTTTCTAGCAATTTACAATTTCAATTCAGATTTCCAGCTCTATTTACAACCGAGGTAAAGCTAGAAAAGGTATTAAGAACTGAAAGGTTAAAGAAAAAGTTGGACAATGAAAGAAAGTCAATTTTACAGACCTTAATACAAAAAAAATTAGGAATTTAGTATGGTGTAGGTATCTTACACTTCAATTTTTATATAAAGTATTTATTGAAAATTTGTATAGCTTCTTTGAAACAAGTGTATACAAACAACACTCTGAAAACAGTGTAAGCATTTACAAAAATAGGTCATATTAAAGGAAGCTTAATGCAATGTTCCAACATAATCCTATCTTGTATACATAATGTCCTGTTCAATTAACAGAATAAATGTCTACAAACTGTAATCAATTTAGTAAAATTCCTTTACGAATGAGGCCCTTTTTATACATATCCAGTTTTGTTGCCTGTTGCTGAAGGCTTTTCAACTTTGTGTTAAGAATGTTATATCTACATTGATTAAATTGGGATGGCCCCATTGGAAAGACCTCAGACCAACTTTGTATGTTTGTTTGTTTGTTGTTGTTTTTTTTTTATTTTTCGCTTATGCGATAAATAGGAAAGCTTAAGAATGCAATTTTGTTAGTCATTGAAATTAAGACATTCCATCACTGATGTAAAAAATAATTTAACTCAAATACAATAATTATGCTTTTGTATCTGAAAGAGTTTGTATGACTACAATTGATATAAAAATATATTGTTTAAAGTATTTATTTTTGTGTATAACATGTGAAACAATCCTTTTGAATTAATATCTGAAGTCCACATATATAATAACCGTAGCTACACTACCTATCACAGCAATGGAGCTTAACATTAGTAGCTTAAGAGAAGAGAAAAAATTTAAATAATATAAAATGTAAACATAAGTACAATTTTTAATAGCAGGACAATTCCACTTACAGGTAAACAACAAAAAAACTGAATTACACTCAGGATCTTGTTAAGACAACTGCAACTTTGAGCAACAACAAATCACTGAAGTGAAAAATTTCACATTCATTTTGATTTAATATTACCTTTAAAAGCATCGTAAAAAATTTGGTTTATATGTATGCAACGTGTACAATGTCACTTAGAACTTTTATTTTCATTAATGAGTAGTTTCAAATTTAGTAATTGGACTTGTGTCAGTAACACTTTCTCTGAATTTTTATAAAATATTCTAGTTATCAAGTTACCTAAGACCTGCTTTCAGTAACAAGTAATAAACATTATTTTTTTCTGAAAAATGTATTGTGTCAAACAATTGGAGAGGTTTTTGGTTTTTGCAATGAAAATGACTGGATATTGGTTTACTGTTACAACTACATTGAATTAATCAAACTACTTTGCTACATTAGTGCTATGGTGATTTCATGTCATACGTTTTCTATCAAAACAAAATTTAAAATTATGAAAATAAATTTAGTTTCAATTTGCCGATGGCTTACATTTTGAAGTTGTGCACAAGACACACTGTAATGGTGGAATCACCCTGCATTCAAAGATCACAGTAACATGGACATGCTATAACAGCTTTGCAGTAACACTTAGTATAGCTGCCTGCAATGTGAATGTGCGAGCATAATGAAGCAATTTGAGATTTTAAATATATACTACATCCCAAAACCTTTTTCATTATCAACAAATTTCTATGCAGATTAAATGTGAAATTCTTAATGTTCAGATCTCAAAATCACAGAAGTATTTCTTACACCTGTATTAATAATAAAAGTACAGTACAAGAAGTAATATTCTCTTGGGCAATAATATAATTCAATATCAAGATTAGGAGACTCGTGGTGGTTTATGTAATTTATTATTGAAGTAAATCAACAATCACCTATCCATTAAAAAAAAAAAAAAAATTACTGTGGTTGTGAAGGCTGCTGTGGATTTGTATTGTAGTTGTACACAGGATATCTTGGAGCAAATTGCATATTTCCATGAGTATGCTGATTATCAGTTGAATCTTGAATATTCTTGGGCCCAAAAGCACTTTCAGCAAATGCAGGTGGAGCTAAATTGCAAAACACAAAGTGAAAATACATTAGGTCATTACTTTATGTCATACATTTACCAAAGAAATATATTATTTTAGTTTGCTTACATGCTACAAATATTACATCATTTATAATCATATAGTTAAAATTTTTCCTTGTAATTCTCTTCTGTCTATCTCTCATTTATAATGAAAAATGGAAACTACTACATGGTATCTTTAAGGTTCATTTTGAAGGTAGGTAACTAAAAGAATTTTCTAAAAATACCTATCTGAATGGTCACATAATTGTTACAAGGTAAAAATATTCAACAAACTAGCTAACAATTGCAAACTAGCTGTTTGTTGCAGGAAGAGCAACCTATTTTACAACTAGCAGGATTAAAAACAATAGAGCATTTAAGAGAAATATTTTATCCAAGTAATGAAAATATGGCTAGCAATCACATTACAGGTCTTAGCTCTGGCATGGCTGAGACCTTTCAAGTTGAACACCTCTGATATAAATCAACAAATTTGAAAACACGCTTTGCCTGAAGACCCATTTGTTCTGGCTTATTTAAGGACTGATTACATCAATACATACTTAAAATGTAACCTGTAAAGACTTATTTTTGGTTTTGTTATGCCAGAAATGTATTTTTTTACTTCTATTGTTAATATTTAAAATAAAAGGCAACTCTAATTACACAATATTTTGAATGCCAAAAATATTTTTAAAATAATTAGAATACTAATTGCAAACGTTTGTACACATATTTCTAAGTTCTCCAATGTCTCTATTATGACCGGATCAGCACTTACAATTTACAAATACAGAGAACAATTTAATAATAAAAATTGTGAAACAAATCTTAAGTATTTTTTGCTCTGTCCCTTCATCCTGCATCCATTTCCTCTACATTAACAGAGTGCTTTCTGAAAGGGTCTTACTTTGCATCTGAACATAGAGATGCTATCTTCCCCACCAAACAAACTTAGAAAGATAAACAGAGTAACTAGGAAAAAACTATGAAAGATTTCTCCACTAATCTCAGAAAAATACACTAAACTCATACCCAATGTAAAATCTCTCTCTCTTTCTTTCTTTCCCTCTCCTCTCTCTTTCTCTCTTCTCTCTTTCTTTCCTCTTCTCTCTTCTCTTCTCTCCTTCTTTCTCTTCCTCTTCTCTCTCTCTCTTTCTCTTTCCTCTTCTCTCTCTTCTTTCTCTTTCCCTTCTCTCTCTCTCTCTTTCTCTTTCCCTCTTCTCTCTCTCTTTTTTCCTTTTCTTCTTCTCTCTCTCTTTCTTTTTCTCTCTCTTCTCTCTCTCTTTCTTTTTTCTTCTCTCTTCTCTCTCTTCTTTCTTTTCTCTCTCTTCTCTCTCTCTTCTTTTCTCTCCTCTCTCTCTCTTCTTTTTCTCTCTCTCTCTCTTCTCTCTTCTTTCTTTCTCTCTCTCTCTCTCTCTTTTCTTTTTCTCTCTCTCTCTCTCTCTTTCTTTTCTCTTCTTCTCTCTCTCTTCTTTCTTTCTCTCTTCTTCTCTTCTCTTTCTTTTTCTCTCTCTTCTCCTCTCTCTTTCTCTCTCTTCTCTCTCTCTTTCTTCTTCTCTCTCTTCTCTCTCTCTTTCTTCTCTCTCTCTCTTCTCTCCTCTTTCTTCTCTCTCTCTTCTCTCTCTCTCTTTGTTTTCTTCCTCTCTCTCTTCTCTCTCTCTTTCTTTTCTCTCTCTCTTCTCTCTCTCTCTTCTTTCTCTCTCTCTTCTCTCTCTTCTTTCTTCTCTCTCTCTCTCTCTCTTCTCTCTTCTTTCTTCTTCCTTCTTCTCTCTCTCTTTCTTCTCTCTCTTCTTCTCTCTCTTTCTTCTCTCTCTCTTCTCTCCTTTTCTTTCTCTCTCTCTCTCTTCTTTCTTTTCTCTCTCTCTTCTCTCCTCTTTCTTTCTCTCCTCTTCTCTCTCTCTCTTTCTCTCTCTCTCTTCTCTCTCTCTCTCTCTCTCTCTCTTCTCTCTCTCTCTCTCTCTCTCTCTCTCTTTCTCTCTCTCTCTCTCTCTCTCTCCTCTGCAGCTGCCAACGTGGGAATGCCAACGTCTCCGAGGCGAAAGAAGACGAAGAGTGCCACCGGCTTAAGAGCAACACCTTACCACTTCCTCTTCCTTACACTTCCACTTCCTTACATTTCCTCTTAACACACCTTACACTTCCTCTTAAGGGAAGGAGACACCTTCCCTTAAGGAGGAAATTCAACCCAACTATCAAGGTGAAACATACGCAGACATCATAAAGAGGATGAAGAATGCTGTGGATCCTAATGATCACGGTACGAAGATACTGGCTGTAAGGAGGACCCGAAAGGCAGATGTGCTCCTTGTACTAGGAAAAAAACTGGCAATATTGACGCGTTGAACGAGGCTCTGGAGAAGGCGGTGGGGGAACAAGCGAAAGTGAGTGCCCTTACAAACGAAAGTGAACGCCTACTAGAAATTAAAGATATTAACGAAACTGTCACGATTGAAGAGGTACTAGAAACGGTGAGCAAGACAACAGACCTAACGGCAGACCAGATTTCCGACTCTTGTAGGTTACATAGGGGATATGGAGTAATGCAAACAGCCACACTGCTACTGGGTGAAAAGGTAGCCCAAAAGCTCATAACGGCAGGAAAAATTAAAATCAGGTTAAAGCCCCGCATATTAAGATGTTATCGATGATTAGGCTTTGGACACATCTCAACTACTTGCAGACGTCCCGATCGAAGTAAAGCTTGTTACAGATGTGGCAACACCGGACATAGTATCAACTATTGCACTGATAAACTGCAGTGTGTTATATGCAAGGAGGGAAACAAAGACGATAATCATCTGTTAGGAAGTAATATATGTACCTCCTCCATCATGGCGTTCAATAAAGCCAAAAAGAGAAAGTATGCTCTGATTCCTACAAGTTAATTTGGGAAGGAGTAAACAGGCGTGGGATTTGATGCTGCAGGTCGCTGCTGAAAGGAAGGTTGACGTGCTGCTCGTCAGCGAGCAACCTCATTGCGACGTGGTATCAGGATGCTACTGGAAGTGCCGGCATAATGCATAATAAGACGCTGAGTATCACGAAACAAGAGTACGAAATACGGGTTTGTATGGCTGGAAGTGGGCAATATGAGAATTTATAGCTGCTATTTTTCACCGAATGACACGCTAGAAAAATTTCAGAAAGATGTCGATGAGCTGGAGGCTAGCTTGAAAACGCCTAAGTGCGATGTATTAGTGGCAAGCGATTTCAATGGTAAATAGTCTGAATGAGGAGAGACGCGCTCCGATAGAACAGGAACTAATCATATGTGAATTCATTGCAAGAAATGACCTGATCAACTTAAATACTGGGGACGAGGAGCCGCATCATCTATCATCTGTTTTGGATTTAACAATAAGCTCCACCAAGCTAGCTAAAGGCACCGCTGATTGGTCAGTGCTCGACGAAGAAACCCTGAATGACAATCGGTACATAGAATATTCGGCTCCATTAACGGAGGGGCCGCAACATGTCAAAATGAGATATAAAGGAAGACCACCTTGGAATCCCCAAAAATTGAATGAAGACAAGGCAAAATGCTCCTTGGAAGAATCCAGGTTGCTGGTTAACATGCGTTGGACGAAAGGGGCGAAAACGCTTGAGGATATGGTCGAGGCAACGAAGGAAATAGTGGTAGCAGCTTGCTATGCATCCATGCCTAGACGTATACGTCCGAGGAGGAAACAGCAAATGTATTGGTGGATACCAGAAATAGCTGAACTGCGAAGGAATTGTATTAAGGCAAGAAGAATAGCGACAAAGGCTAAGACGAATCTGCACCTCAGGGAATAGTACAACGAACTGTCCAAACGGCTTGAGAGAAATAAAAAGAAGTAAAGGCAGATGCTGGAAAGAGCTCTTAGAACAGATAGATTACGACCCATGGGACATGGCTTATAAAACAGTATGCGGTGTTTCTCAGGGGTCCAGACTTGGGCCATTTTTATGGAATGTCCTGTATGATGACTGTCGAAGCATTGACCTGCCGAAAAAAACGCAGCTAATAGGCTATGTTGATACGCTAATAATAAGCCACAGCGATGACATTAAACTCCTCGAATAGAGAGTAAACGAAGCGCTGTTTAGGGTTAAAAGATGGTTAGATAAACGACAGCTACAGATGGCAGTGCAAAAAACCGAAGCTGACTTAATCACAGGCCGGATGGCCTTTCACTATCCAGACCTCCGATTGGGAGGGGAGAGAATCAACTGGAAGCGCAGATACGATATGTAGGAGTCGAAATAGACCAAATACAGCTTCGGACCCCACACAAATGTGATGGCAGTGAAGGCGGCGTGGACAGGAGCCAACATCGCAAGAATGCTACCGAACGTCGATGGACCAAGAGAAGAATGATATCTCGCATAGTTCACTCACAGTTGTTGTATGCTGCTCCAGTCTGGGCGGGTTCGCTGGAGAAGTTGTCTATCAGAAACAAGTACACCCAAGACGAATGGCCTTGAGGGTGGCGTGTGGCGTACCGCACAGTGTCTGCTTGCGCAGTGCTGGTGTTGGCCAGTACACCACCCATTGACTTAAAAGCCATGGAAAGAAAGAGGACGTACCTCGCCTTTGCAAATTGCCCAAGACGCCCAAGCAAATTGAGAGTATTCAAGCGCAAGCAAGAAAGTTGCTCCTTGAAGAATGGCAAGGAAGATGGGATGGGGATGTGAAAAGCAGATGGACTCATCGGTTGATTACCAACATTGAGAGATGGGTTAGCCGAAGATTTGGGGAGGTGAATTATTACCTGATCCAGGCACTAACGGGACATGAAAGATTTAATAAATACCTCTACGATTTCCGGATCGTAGAGCGGCCCACATGTAGTCTCCGTCACGCAGACACAGATTATGCAGAACACACACTATTCCAGTGCAAGGCAAGGAAACCGGAACGAGAGGTTTGTCATGTCAACCTCCAACAAGTTATAAACCCAGAAAACGTGGTCAACATGATGCTGAGTTCGCAGGAAAAATGGAAAACAGTTGATAACTTCATTGTTAGTATTCTGAAGAAGAAATAATTAAGACTGAGGAAGTAGAGCATCTGCTACCAGCCAATCTCCTAAGTGAAGTAGGGTCTGTCGACGGTTTCCGCATGGGAGAGAATATGGTTTAAGAGACGGAGGTTAAGTTTTTAGTTGGTACGCCTAGTTTAGCCAGTTGGGAGTCCGACATCAGCTTTATTGGTATCCACAAAGGATTTTCCTCCTTCCCACACACAAATAATAATAATAATAATAATAATAATAATAATAATAATAATAATAATAATAATTTGCCTAATAGAGCTCATCTTGAAGTATTGTATTTATTTTGTAACGGATATGAATACTTACGCAAGGTAGGATAGAGTGTTCCTCCATCAGGAACTCCATCCTGAGATGGAGGTCCTCCCTGTGGTGGTTGATAAGGACCAGTTGGAGGTGCCCACTGGGGCTGCTGAGGGTACCCAGCAGAGGGAGGGTTTGGCCCAGGCTGAGAAGATCCATCTGGTGGTGCAACAGGAGCCACTGAAGGAGGACCCCACTGTGGCTGTTGGGGATACGCAGGCGTTGGAGCACTGGGGTCCTGAGGAGCTCCAGGTGATTGTCCCCACTGGGGTGCTGCAGGTGCATTTGGATCTTGCTGGGGTACAGAGTTCCATCCACCACCAGATACAACTCCAGTTGGACCAGCAGGTTCAACACCTTCACTTCCTCCAGGATTTAATTGTCCTTCTCCCTCTTTTGCAATAGGAGGAGGTGGTTGATAATTGATGAGAGGTATAGTACCTAATATAATTGGTGTCTTCAGTTCAGCATTAGGGTAAATGCCAGGTAGTTTTGCTTCAACCTAACAACAAAAGGCACATTTCTTTGATATATATTGAATTTGATACTGATTATTTTCAACATTACTGAATCTTGAAAATAGAAAACTTACTTTCATGTCATAGGACAAATCAATAATATTGCAATTCATTAAGTTTGATGGAGGTAAAGGTGGAATGACAATCTGTTCAGTCCACGTCTTAGAAGAATTTCCTGTCACTCCACCAAATTTGTGATCAACAATCGTTATTTTATCCTTTTTGACAGTGTTGGACGGAGAAGTGGCTTTGAAAGAAACTATCTGTAACAAACATATACACTTGTAAACTCTTAGCTTGTTGAAAATAATTAACTCCTTGGCTCCAATTTAACATACCTTTCGCAGTGTACATATTACGTTAGCTACATTTGTGCCACTGTTATTATCTAATTCAACAGTTACAGGAATTGCCTGCCCAGGGACATAGCCCCCAACAGGTAGAGACAGAACAAGAGTCAGAGGTCCTGATTTACAACAACAACAACAGAAGTACTTTTCCTTTTCCAATTTAACTGGATTCTGTGGGGGAAAAAATAACTCTAGTAAGAAATTGTTTGTAGATAATTTCTTACCAAGTTCAAAATGTTACAATACCTTTGCAGTCTCATGAACATTTAAATCCAAAGGCGATATCACCGTAAATGCTGCTTTAACATCTTGATCAAATTTCCATGGGCGATCAAGAGTAGCCTTTACAGTGTAGCGAACATGACCAAACTCACCCTCAAAAGATGATGGAAGATTAGGTGGAAGGTAAGTCATAAAAGGATAACTGTGTTCACCTGGCTCAATAAATACTTCATTTCCTACAAATTATAACAAATAAATAATTCCTTGGTGAAGAAACAACAAAACATGGAATACTAAAAATGGTCACTGTTTTAGACCAAGGAGGTGCATTAAATTACATACAACAATCAAGCTGCACATTTTCTAATTTCATTCTCTCCTGAAACTTTACTTGGTAAGTATTTTGAAAACTTATGATAACAATTGTGACACCTGAAATACATACCACCTCCCCCCAGAACATTAAATTTGTTCTCAAAATATTGCTCATGTCCAGTAAATACTGTGGTCTCTTGAACTGCACTGCCAGCTTCATTTTTCTTCGTTTCTGTTACATCCCATTTCACAGAGGCTTCACCTTTAAAATGCACAACCAGTCCTATAAAATGATCAAATGTTTACATGAAACTTGAAAATACAACCCCTGAAGATCTCCATCTCCAATGCCATTAGTTCACTTACCGCGAATTTTCTTTTGTGTGTCAACTGCAATGATTATTCTACCTGATACTGGCTGACCGCTATAGTATGTGTTCCAGGGATTATCAAAAACAACTTGGAATTTCTTGAGGCCCATGTTTTCCTCCTAAATTAATACTTCAACTTCCTCTGAATTTCACTCAAGACAATTCATAACACTCAGCAATTATTCGGCTTTGACAACGTTCTTCGCCTCTAGCTGTTCCCCTTGCCAGATCTGCGCTACTCTGTGCTGTGGCTCAGCTCGAGCCCTGCCTGCAGTCCAACTTTGACACGGACCACCGACGTGGGAGAGGTGGGCGGGGCCTACAGCAAGTATAGACGACTGCTGTGGGATTCATACACCACTTTTAACGATGACGTAGCTACGTTTCATTCGTGATTGCCCTTCTTACCGTCTAAAACAGTTGATTGTCACCTATTGCCAATTATGATAATGACACATTTACATATAGAGATTGCAACACGTTTTGGAGTATGAAACGAATATGAATTTCTGAATTTTGTAATTTATTCATGGTTATAATTTACGCTCAAAGGTGTTGTACTGGGAATGAAACAAAAATGTAAAGTTCATCAATTTCAAGATAATGGTAGTTAACATAAATTACTGAACTCGAAGAAAAACAACATGCCGTCATTGTAATTATAGATAAAATCCTCTTAGATGGTATCAATCGGAAAACGTCCTCTAGTATTGGCAGACCTGCTTCGAAATTGCAACTCGACCCGCGGGGGTTGCTGGGAGGTAGCGGGTCTGCAAACCTATGAATATCAAGAACTTCTTGACAAGAAGGCAGCAAGCAAAGTGGTTAACACAGAACATCTGTCAAAGCATCGTTCCTATAAGAGTGTTTCTCTTAGATTACAATTCACTGTAAAAGAAAAGTTTAATTTGAGTGAAAAACTGAAGAAAGGTGTGCATTTCCGTAGTCAGTGAGAAAATTAAGGGAAGTGAGTTTACGACCAAGTAATATGTACTGCTTATTAAATTCTATCACTGCTTGGAGTAGTTCATCATAGAAGGATATCAAGAAGAGACAAAGCTTCATGAAGAATAAAATTTTATTTTCAGGAGGCGATTCTGTTATTACTTTGTAAAAGAAATCTGCTCGTATTTCAGGTCTAAAGCGATTGTCGATACAAAACTGGCAAAATGGACATTACATCATTATTTAAAGCTTGCGTGAAAACTATACGGACGCGAAATAAAGCGTTTGGTCTTGTTGGTGATTCAGACAGAAGCAGAATTTTCCCCCAAAGACCTCAAAAGAATGATTTCACCATAAGGGCCAAAGAAGTAGTGGCCCAAATAACTCGATTACGCGATTTTTTGTTGGAACATAGAAAAGCCTACTTGAATTTTGCTAGTCATTTGCCTGACACCCCTCAAATGACTGATTTGGAACGGGATAAAATAGATTCTGGTGCTCAACGCATTATGAATACCTGCTCCCATTTAATTCAGAATTTTAAAAGGGAATCTGTGAATATTGATGGATCTCCTCAGCTATTAGAACACCGACAGGCTGTTCTGGATCTTGTTGAGTGTTATTTGAAATCAGTCTGTAAAATTTATTCAGAACAAAGAGCAATTCGTGTCAAAAGGTCACTGGAAATTCAGAAAATATCAAAACTTGGTGATATAGATCCACTAAAATCATATTCTAATGATACTGGGAGATTAAAAAATCGTAAAGAGCCTTCGCTTGGATCAGAAATTATTGAAACTACAGTAGAATTTGATAAGGACTCTAGTACTAAGAATAAAAGTAGTGTTCCTGCTTATGATCAGTCTTTGATTTCAGAAGATGATCAGTTAACTGCAGAGGAATTGCAGATGTTTGAATTAGAAAATGCTCAGTTATACATCGAACTAAATAATTTGACAGAAGAAGTTCGTCAAATTGAAAGCAAAGTTGTACGAATTGCAGAACTGCAAGAAATTTTTACCGAGAAAGTTCTCCAGCAAGATAAAGACATTGATCGAATAGTGACAACTGTTGTTGGAGCAACGGAGAATGTGAAGGATGCTAACGACCAGATTCGTCAGGCAATACAAAGAAATGCAGGTCTACGGGTGTATATATTATTCTTTTTACTTGTTATGTCCTTTTCATTACTTTTCTTGGACTGGTATAATGATTGAATGTTAATTCTTGGAGAAGAAAGTATTTGATTGGGAATTGTGTTCTAAAATGACAATAAATATTAACTTTACTACATGGGAAATATAAATATGACCTTTGGTGCATTGTAATGGACCTTATTGAAATGAAATTCCCTAATCATTTTCCCTAGTGTTTCAACTTCTCATAGGTAAAATTTTAGTTGCAACTACAAAGTTATAATAGTTTGAATGTTCTATACCTGTATGCGAAATGCAATTTGCAGAAAATGAACCTTTTTGAATCCTATTAATTTCACTTGTAAGCTGAGAACTTTGTTACAAAGAACACCCTCTTGAACTTATCCTTTATCACTACACTGAAATTTTGTAATTTACAGAAAAACATATGCTGAACATTGTTCACAACTAGGGGAAAAATTGATTCAAGTGACTTACTAAAATTAATTAGTCCTGTAGCAAGTAAATGATCCATAATGAAACATGCTACTCAAAACTTTTCTACAAGTTAATATTCCAATCCTTAGCAAAATGTTAAAAACTATTTAACATCACTTTTTTAAAAAAAGAATTCAGTTTCAATAAATGAAACAAGCTGTTGTGTTAAACTAATTTCTCATGAGTCGTGTTTAAATGTTACTAGGATTTCAAACAAAAATCTTTACAATTTATTTCAGAAGATGTGCAATTTTTCTAATGAAATACTTACTACTGCTCATTTTTCATTTATTACAAATCATGGAATGCTTAAGTCAGTGTTTATAATTGACAGTACTTGTTAAAACTACCCGATTTGTAAGTAATAATGAGAACATGCCTAGACTGTTTTTTTTCAGACGTGAGGATAGTAGGCATGAAATAAAATTATAAAAAATGTATTTTTGTAAACCCTGAAGAATAATTCTTTCTTACAGTGAAAAATTAATCCCTTTTATTAATTATTTCTTAAGACTTCTAATGCACGTGGAGTGCTAAACTAACATTTTAATAATATTAAAAATGTTGTTTAAACATTGCCTGTATGGATGAATCTGGTCTTTAATGAATAAATGAAAAGACATTGAATTTTATTTCTTACAAAAATACCTTGTAAATAATTTTCAACAGCAGAGCCAATGAATTAAATTTTCAAATTGATGTTGAAAGAAATATTTCAATGTCAACGAGTTGGTAAGTTATTTAGAATTTTCCAAAACCTTAACTATACTTACCATTTACTTTATGCAGAATTAAATTAAAATCACTAATGGCACAAAAAGGAACTTTTTTTTCATGGTTCACAAAGACAAGAATGAAGTGCTACTAAAATATGTTATCAAATTCTATCCCTTAAAAAATAAGTCTTAACAGTAAAGGATCAATAAGTATCCCCTAAATTTATTTAACAAGTGTGAAACTAAAATACTCATATCACTTCAAATGGCAATGTTTCAGAGGGTAGAAAAAAATTAAATAATGGCTAATGTTCACAGAATTTCTCACAGAAACACTAGCAAAGGCAGAATAGTTCAGGCACCCTTGAATACAAAATGAAGTGTCACAATGTTCATGTGAAGCAGCGCAAAACTTAAAACCAAAACAAGAAATCTTATTAAGTTTACCAATTTTAATGAAACAATGTTACAGACTGATCTTAAACATGGCTATTCAAAATGAAAACTTTTTTTTTAAGTCATGAGACAACTAGACAAGCATGTATATGAAATAAATTTTTAAAAAAGTGTTTAATCAAATAAGTTGTAGAAAAAGATTTTAAAAATTTATAAATGGGGAAGAAAGCAAATTAATACTTCAATTTCTAAGTATAAAACGTGGTTGTAATTCCTAAAGGTAGGGACTTACAAAGTTTTCACAATAAATGTAAAGAGCATCATTCAAACAGATTAAGATGAGACCTGGACACTATAGTTATCAGCTTCCTTGGAACAATTTTAATACACAAACTGCTGGCTAATCTGATAACATACATTGTTATATTATATAACAAATCACTTAGTTAAACTAAGTAATCAAAAGACAAATTAAAACAACTCTCTCAGATACATGAAATATATTAGAATATGGCGACTTCAACTGCACTTCACAGTAAAGTTTCAACCCCAGAAACATTTCATTATTCAGAATTAACAAATTGAAATAGGGGAACACAACTGATACTCAGTTTTCTATTTTACAGTGATGAACTTATATGTCCCCCCCTTATCTTGAAGGATGAAATGTGTATCAGAAGAAATTTCAAGATAACACAATACATCCTTTTAATTTGAAGAATAGAAATATTTCTAGGGACGTATTTCCATCTTCATTTCGTGATAAAAATACAGTGAGAAGATTTCTCTTACTTGTCATGTTTAAAATATGATGCAACAGAGGGAATGTATTTGAAGGCAAGGAAGTTCCAAGTTCAGAATTTTCCTATGAACACAATTTTTGATTTTCTAAACCCTCTGGAATCACTTTTCTTCTTCTCATATACTGGAAGTCCACATACTAACCTGTGTAAGATGTTACAAAACTAGATATTAAGATACTAAGTGAAGTGTATTATTTATTTAAAAAATCATTTATGCATTTCTTTATATTATGTGTTCAAGTTTTTCTTTATATTGCATTACTAACTTCACTGATACACATGAGTTATAGGTATTAGCATTATTGAACTAGATTCCAGCATAACCAAAGTTTGTTTAACTATAGTACTTTATCACAATTGATGATCCATACATCCTAATGTATATACTGGTAACACTGTCACAAACACACCTATCAACAAATATCATTTGCCTATTAATCCCTGATGATTTGTACTTTGACTCTCACACATAATACCAACACTTGGTCCCAGGTAATAACCTTTATCTTGCATAATGAATCACAACACCTTTAATACGTTCAAGTAAATGTCCATGAATTTTCCGTATATACAGCATACTTCTAACTTCTTAAAATTTCCACAGCAAAAAATAAAGTATAAATGGTAAAAAATGTTCAAAAACAACACATTCAGATCACGACAAACTGATCTTTTGGAAATAAGAGTGTACTGGCACATACAAAGAAAGAGTTAAATGTATCCAGATGCTGTTTGTTAACTATTATCACAAGTTCACAGCAGTTAAGATTTTGGAAATAATTTTCTTGGTATTCTGTATATTTCTAAATATTTCACAATTATTTCTTGCACAAAATTATTAATAAATAATGCACACAAATCACAAAAACTAGTTGTAAACTCACACAGAGTTCAATTAACCTGTTTTTTTTCTTATGATGAAATGAACTTCACAATTATGCATATTAAAAATTAAATAAAACTATTATTATCTTACACAACCAATGATTAAATACAAAATTAATAATTAAATGTAAAATAAATATCAATTGCATCTTCAGAAAACATGAGTCAATGTAGAGAAATGCAATGTTTAGTAGATCCAATTTCAAAGCAGAAATTATGTTGAAAGTCCGTTCTTCTAATTTATGTATTAAAACTAGAAAATCCACAAGATTTCTTCATAATCACACCAGCTAACTGTAACTGCACAATATTCAGTTTCTTAAAATGTACAAAATGGTGTGAGGCTGATATACACTGCAAGAGTCTCCAGCCAATTAAAAATGCTCCAACACAAAATCCATGTCAGTATATGTAAACTTTTTGAACCAAAATTGAAATAACCAGTAATTTTAGTAAAATTATACTGATTATACCTCAGTAGTCACCACACTTAAAGATTTTCAGCATTGCCTGTCAGTCAGAGGTGCAGTAGTCGTAACGATAATGAGGATGTCCAGTATATGGGCGTATCCTCCAATTGATGAGCGACTGTGTCACCCAAACTGTTGACACTAAAGGAATGCTCCACTCACGGGCTCGATCCTGAACTTCTGGTGGACATGTACTATCAGTCAGAATAACATCCACACCAGAGAATTGACGATCTGTAGAAACCAACAATTCACATTTAAAATTATGAAAATTAAAACCATAAATAAATTCATTTCAATTTCCTATCACTGAGAGAATTTGTACCACAGTTTTATAATAAAATGGAGTGCTGAGGGTTGTAAAGAGTAGGAGGGTAGCATATCTGAAATGGTAAATTGCAATAGTTTTGATACACAGTTGACAAATAACAATGAACTCACTTTAATCATTTATTTCAGAAACTCGTGAAATGCCAAATTCTTCATTCTGAGAAAACAGAAAAAGTCTCCCAATTTATCTGATTTCAAAATATTTGTATACATTAAAGCAGTTGATAAATGAATATTTTTCATATAAATATGCACTAAACTGAGATTGTCATAACATGTATCTATCCTCTTGGAACATTCATTCGCAGCTAATGCGTCTATTAAATGTTGGCGTTTGACGTGTTTCTGAAATGAATGATTCAATTCATCAGGAAGCAGTAACATGATACAACAAATAATATACTTAATTCTTGTGTTGCAAAAAAATTCTGAAGAGAAATTACTTCATTCAATTAAATGATATTATTTTTTATAGTTACTATCAAAGGGCACTTCATTGGAGGAGCTGGTTTAAAATTTCTAAAATTGTTATTAATAAATTCTTTACATAGACATAATTCACTTCAGTATCAGGAAATAGAAACATGGTTGACATTATGTTTCTACAGCATTGCAGCCTATAGTATTCATGTATTGTTTATCAATTACTTTATCTCTGGCATATATTTTCTTCTCTGCTTAATACATATTTATTTAACAGAATGTTTAATGTATATAAAAAAAAATTACCTAAACTTATTTTCCAGCCATTATAAAAATATAGTACACTCAAGATATAAGAGTATTTGGGGACCTTAAATGAATTCGTAAATTGAACTGTTGGGCTGAATAATGAGCTGTATTAAAATATTTGCAAATCATTTTTTTGTGGAATAATGGTCAACGTTGGGCTGAATAATAATCTACATTAAATCATTTGCTAATCATGTTTTTTGTGGAATAATGGTCAATGTAGTCTTGTGAAGTGTGTGGGAATTTTGTTTTACAAAATACTCACCAGAGATGTGGCTAAATCAGTTCTTAGGGGACAAATATAGGCATTTTGCAGTTGGAACATCATTAATAATCTACAGTGCACATTAGTGTTTTCATGGAAGTTTACTCCCTCAAGTTACTTCTTTACAAGCCTTTAAAAATCATTTAATCTCATTACCAAAAAATATAAACAGTTCAAAATTGAAGATTAGAAAATACTTATGTATGAAATTTTATTGTAGGGATCTTGAAGATAAACAGAGTCATAACAGAGCAGTGATTGTCATGGCTTAACTGCTGGATTTTTGTGATTTAAGAGCGGTCTTATCTCACTAAGGCTCACTTATCTCACTTTGAAAAGGACAGGCCAAACTTTTCTTTAATAAGCTCTTTAAAAGATCATTTACATCTAGAAATTAGAATATTAAGAATTGTGTAATGCTCTTGGGAGAAATATTATTATGAAAGCATGTAAATAATTCAGTATGTGTAGCTTCCATTATTACAAGGCTTTTGTATATTTGAAATTTCCTGTCTTTCTCAGAATTTCCAACACTGGAATTATGTTTCACCAGAACAATTTTACAAACTCTAGGAACTTCTGCAGTCTTTATACTGAACAATATAATTTCAGAATGTACTACATGTCTCAAAACTTTTATGATTCATATATGTAATTTGATACTCAAAACAAACTTATCCAAAGAAAACTTAAAATATCAAACATTTTTATTTTTGTCTCAAATGAATCTTTAAATATTATTTTATTAACTAAATAATTTTTCCAATTGTTTTAGTACAATTCCTTGACAGCCCACATGAACAAGCTTTTCCTGATATCTCTAGGAGTACAAGAGCCTTACAAAATTATAGAATAGTTTGGATATTTATTTTTTATTTAAGATATAAAAGTATTTGTAGAAAAGGAAACTAATTTAGAAAATAATTAATTCTAAAATTACCTAGTAGTGACGTACTAATTCAAAATAAATTGCAATTTGAACAAAAGTTGTAATAACATGAAAGCATATGACCACTTTATAAATAATCACTTTTAATTTATGTACATATCAGATGTTATGCCAGAAAGAATGAAAGTGATCACATAAGCAAAAAGATTACTAATAAATAATGATCAAGTACAGGTGCCATTGTTACTAAAATATATACTACGAGTTGTCATGAGCTGTTTAGCCGTTGGAAAACCTTGAGGTTAAATGGTCTTAGCAGCACTACTTTATTCAGCATTTACCAAATTTTACATTAAGTGGTTGTAACAACTAAACATTTACTATTTCGGGCAATTATTAAAAATATCAGTACTTTGCCCAAAATATTCCTTAACAAAATTATAAACAATAATAATTTTATTACCTTGTTCAGGGGATCCAGGTGATATGTGTCTGACATTCGCCCCCATCAATTCCAAGATGCGCTCCCAGAACTTGACGAATGTTTGAGATTCATTAACTATTCCCACTTCTTTCTTATTTAATGGTTTCTGTTTCCTTGTGCGAACAGTAGCTTCTGGAGGTACATAACATTTTCCTTCCAAGTCCCAGCCTGCAGCGCATCGAGCACTCGCTAACGATACACTTGAACCCTGGTAAGCACAATCTTGTTATCATATCCAGAAATGTATCCAGTATAATTATTAGAATTTGTCAGCTTACTCACCCTAGCTTCCTCAATAACCCAACGGTGTTGAATTATCTTTATACCGTTGGCCAAACTGAGAATATACTTTGCAGTTAAACTAGGTCGGTTGGTAACCAAATAACAATTTTGATACTGCTCTTCAGGCACATCTTCAAAACTTTCATATACAATACCACCTCCACCTTCCAATTGTTGTTTCAAATGTTCTTTCACGAAAGGGATTTTGGAATCGAATCCATCATCAGAAAATGCTGATTCTGCAGAAATAAGATTTTAAATGGTATATGACTACTCTGAGGCAATTCTAAGATGTTTAAAAAAAATGCAGTATCAGAATTAATACTACCTTCTGAGGATGATTTTTGATCAGATTTCTTGCCTGATTTCAATGAAGGATTTATTTTCAAGTTATCAATAGGTTTGTAAACTGAATGAGTTAAGAGAAAACATTTTCCACTAAACATCTTGCTACCTTTTTCAGGAATAGGTCCCAATGTCTCATGAAGCTTATTTAATTCTAGAAAAAAGGAAGATTCGAATAATATTCAAAACTTTGATAAAAATATCTAGTTATTATCATATTAGGATCTCAAGTTGAATATACCTTGAGTGTCAGCAATGGTATGGTTTGCTGGGGTATTTCTTCTTGGAGTCCGAGACTTGCTTTTGATACGCCCGGGACCTTTCCCACGTCCACTAGGTGAGTGAAGAGATTCTGGGAAGCTACTGGGAACTTCTGGGTCAACACCAACCACTTCATCGAGCACTAGTGTCGGTCCCTTATCATTGCTATCACTCACTGAGGATGAACTGCCAACAGGTAAAGCTCAACTTGAGTATGATACACTGTGCTTTAATGTTTACTTCTATTGGGGTAGATAACTCAAACGACTGAGGAATTACAAAATATCATGTTTATTTCCATGTGAAGTATTAGTTTCATTTTAATACTTTATTTTTTACAATAGTCAGCTACATAAACTTTAGACAAAATATGTGAGAAAAACACAAAATAAATTACGTTTTATAACACATATACACAATTTTACAATTTTGCAATTGTAATAAAACAAAATAAAGTGTTGTGTGAGGAACAATGGGAGAAGAAAGAAAGTATGAAACAAAAGAAGCGAAATTATTAACCCAATTATAGAGAATGAAGTGAATAAGATATGTAAGCAATTTTCAACCGGATAAGAAGCACCTCATTCTAAGATTCATACACCACAGAAAACACAAATAGATATATCAACTTTTCCCTGCAGTAGCACTGACCCACAATTTTAGTGTAATATGAGTATTTTCACAAAAAGAGGTTGGAGCCTTACTTACTTGATTGTGCAATTTAAATATGTGTGATAATGAAAGAATGTGAAAATAAAATTTTCATTGTACTTGTAGTAGTAATGTAGATAATAATTACGAATGTTAAGGCATGTTTGTTTTCTACAATTTTGTAACAATTCCTCCAAGGAGGTACTACAGATAAAAATGCAAATAAAGTACACAACATAAGACAATGTACAACCTCAGACTAAGGTATTAAGCATTTTAAGACTTAGGTGGGTACGTTTATAATGCTATGAGTTCCTGCTGCATACCAGCACAAATAATTTTAATAAATCATGATGCAGTAATGACATTTAGTATATGCTGTCTACAGATAATTGACAACAAATACAAGTTTTGAACAATAAAGAATACTACATGTCATACCAGAAACATGATTATGAATGGCAGGCTCTTCAGGAACTTAAATAGCACAGGATGTGACAATCTGTCCAAACTGTAATGAAATGGATACTCAGAAATAGCTTTTGTTTACAAATTTTATCTCTATGTAGGAAAAATGTATAATGACCGATCCATTATTATGGGGAAATATTACAAAATATTACACCTTATTTCACAAAGGCGATTGAATGAATGATTAAAAGAGAATAAACAGAATTAATTTTTAAAACTCGTCAACTACAAAGATCATCCATTGAACACTAACCTACAGCATAATTCCAATATATAATCCAGCTTGCCCCACTACAAATTTGTAAAGGCTGAAAAAATTCTGAATAAGATTATTACTATTTTCTTTATTTCTAGGTCCTATTCTCAAACATTGCTTTTGTAAGGACACATATTACAATACTTTCATGTCAACTTGAACATGCTGAACATTACTTAATATTGTTTTACTCATAATGTTCATTCATCCATTCTTTTTTGATTAATTAGATATACATAATCAGTTTATATAAATGCATTTCTGAAAGAATATGGACCACAAATGAATATAAAACTAAATATTAAAAATACATGTAATAATAGTAGAACACACAATTATGTAAAACAAATAAATTGTTCAATTTTTTAATTACTAATATATCTAGCATATTTTTGTGTTGTGCCTCAGCAACACTTAAGAGGCAAGTTACAGTAAAATCCTATTTACCATGAAGTATCATGTGAAGGACGCTTGGTAGTCTTCCCAACACCAGATACACTTGGACTTGCATTTCCGAAGAGAACACGTGTAGATCTAGGACGTTTATGGTGAACAATGTTATCTGGAAACCAACATAATCAACAACACAGTTTTCGGTGATGCAAATCTTGCTTGAAATTCTTAAGACAAAATCTATTTCATTTTTTCTATAGGTTAACTTACCACAGCTCACAGTTGTAAGAGCAGGTGAACTTGTAGTAGGAGATTTGGGATCCATGCCTTCTTGAAGGAGGCGAGCCTGATCCTCGGACATAAATAGGCGTGACCGTGAAACAAACAACTTTCTCCCACTATCTAAATCTACACCATAATGTACTTCTCCATCTTTCCTGAAAACAGAGACATTATTATTTACATAATTAATCTCTGAATGAAATAAATCCATGCAAAATAAGCATACTAACAATTTAAATTCAACAATAATTCCTTGTTCATATTCATCACCATCATAAGCAAAGACTATTTGCCCTTTGGTAAGAATATTTATAGGAATAATAAATTCTTCTTTCAGTGGTTTCACTGTCTTGTCATCAAATTCTATAACCCAACGACCATCTTTCAATTTTTCTTTTATCCTTCCTGGATAGTATTTCTTGTCAGACCAACGGGCAAAAACTGGAGCTTCTAAAGAATAAAATAAAAATTACAAAAATTTAAAAAGTGAATTAAAAATTATAATTTAAATTGATTATCATTCAAATTTCTATTATAATATACATTCTATTGTAATATAAATACAACTGTAGTAGAAGTTTCATAGTAAGTGCCACCAAAGAAACAACTCATGGTGTTCACGACTTATTACCATAGAAACGAGATAATTCATCTTTCTCACCTGGCATAAGTTTTGTAAAACAACCTCCTGAATTCCATTCATAGACATGAGATGATTCTTGAGAACTTGAATCAGTTTTCTCAGGTTGAGCCTGATCAGCACGATTTCGACGTGCCCTACCACTAGAAGGAGCAGTAGGAGTAGAACTTTTCGTCTCTTCATTTGTAACTGGTGTACTTGGTGTACTTCTACCAGTTCGTTTACTAGCTCTTGCAGGAGGTTTACGAGATTTCTTTTGACTATTAGACGATTCTCCAGCATCCGGTGCATCCTAATCAAAAGAACATACATTAGTATACAGACATGCTAGAGCACACAACAGAAAATTTAAAGCTAAAGAATTATTTTAAATAATTTTAATTATTTAAATTCATATTTAAATAATTACTTTCTCTGGTGTTGGTTGAAATGAGATGTCCTCTTCCGAAACTTCCTTTATAGTTTTTGATACAAGAGTTCGATTTCTGGTGTTTCTACTCCCTCGGGATAATTTTTTTGTACTCTTTGGTGTTTCCACAACAGTTTCTTGACTTTCTGTTTTAGTATGAGGCATGTCTTTCATCTCATCAAGTACTTCTGTTGTGGTGGGAGCACTAGAATTAACTGGAGGGACTACAGGCTTGGTAAGAAAGCTTGACAACTTTGATTCTGTGTCTTCAATGTGTATTGTTCTTTCTGCTAATTCAAAAAGGTCACGTTCAAACTCTGAAGAATACTGTATATTTCGTAATCTATTATTTCGACTCAAAGCAGGTTTCATTGGAGCAGTAAAAAGCCCATCATCACTTTTTGATTTTACTCCTATTGGGAAAAAAAAGAAATTACATTAAAGCACACAAAAATATTAGACTTAATTTCCCATAACAATAATATTACCTAAGTTACTATGGCTAGATGAAGTTGTAGATGTAGAGCTGGTTGACAACCGCCATGACTGTGTTTTCAGAGGAAATGGTCCCAAACTACAACAAAAGAACATGTAAAAGAAACACTTAAAGACCAACCCATAAATTAAACATAACACACCACTAACCTCATAACACTTGATGGGGAAGAATTTCTTGATATATCAGCTGCTGATCCTCCAGAAGTATCACGAGCAAGTGTATTTGTTAACATATAATCTTCCATATTTTGACACTGAACAAAGAACATTGAAATCAAAATTTCATTTGTGATTTCATTAGATACTTTCTTTTCCATTCTTTACCAAAATTGATATTACTATTTGATTTGCGCTTACCTGCACCATTTCAATTGTCTGCACTTGCTGTAAATCATCATGAACATGTAACTTTACATGAAGAGCATAAGTACGCTTGACCACTCGTAATGGAAATGAAGAGTCCTGAAAAATGAAGTTGTATCATTCCTAAGCAAATTTTCAAAATTTCAATTACATTACAATTTAAACAGATCAGCAAATAAAATTTACAAGATTTAGCAGATTTTCCCCCCAGAATGTATTAAAACAAAGCCTTCAATAAAAATCTTTGAAAACTTCAAACGAGCAAAATATAGTTACAATAATGTTTTTTCTCAAATGTCATAGTAGAGCATCTAAAGCCTGGGCTTGGCTATACCTTTTGCTTTTCAAGACATCTCCACAGAAGTTCCCATTCTTATAATACTAAGCTTTCAAAGAAGAATTTTATGCAAATAAATTGAAAATATATTGATTTCAAATACATTATGTTTCCCCATACATATATGAAAATATAATTGCATAAAATACAAAAGTGTATTATAGCAACCAACTAGATCCACTATAATACAAATCTCAACACCCAGGAAAAATGAAACAAGCTAACAACAAAAGGTATATGAAACAAGAAATATAAAACATGGCATAGATTACAGACAGATGGTGGATAACAGTATAAGTAGATTTTGTTGTGAAGACAAGGAACAGACATTAGGACAATACATGAAAAGGTTTTTCAGGTTAGTGAAATAGGTGATGTTTAATTTAAGTTTTGACTTTATTTTACCTCATTATTCTGTTATACCACACAATATGATAAAAACATTTGAATATAGAAAACTATTAACACTGTCATTTGAAAATTGAAAAATTACATAGAATTAAAATTTTCTGTATGTATTTTTAACTTGTAAACCTGACAACAAACCCAATTATGAACTTATATTTGACATTACAATGAAACGTTTTCTCTATATATGCCATCTGTTACTCAAAATTATTCAGTATTTAACAAATCATGGACTTGAAAGTTGTAATCGTATCATGAAAGTAAATAAGAAAAATGGAATGATGATATAATGGACAGAAGACTGAGAACATGTCACTTTAGTCAGAATTGTTAATGATTTTTAAATAATCAAAGTAGCCCTAATGTAACATTTTTATAATTCAAAAGTCAATTACAATAGGTAAATATTTAACCCTTTATTATTAGTAATCAGAGGTATCACAATTTTTTAATTATCACCCAAAATTTATTGTGGTGTATGAATGAAATGTCAATGTCATCAGTCCATATGTCATAGCAAAGGAATGCTGTACTGTTCCCTTGTTTTAATACCAGGAGTGTGTTCGAGTAACATGGAGAACATATTTAATAAGCATAGTAGTTGCAGCATGATAAGTAAGTCTGTTATTTTTATGTAAACAATTTTTTCTTATCCTGCTCCTTCAGAGCAGGGAAAATAAATCTAATTAGAGTACTAAATTCATTTTCATTGAATTTTATTTCACTTGTATGTATCATTACTTCCCTAGCATTTCATTTCACACTTTTTCCTCTGGGGAATTTAAAAATGAAATGTCTGTTTTTAGATTGAATTTTATTTAGAAGTATTTTAAGTTAGAATTTTCATTTTAATGAATATTTTCTTACTGAGTATGTACTAACTTTGAAAAATTTTCATCACCAACGAACTCCTCAGCACCCTTAACATCACCACTCCAAAGTAAAGACGAGCAGCAGAGCTGTGTAGACATCAGAGTAAATCTGCTCTGGTCTGTTAAGTTAAAATCTATCATTATTACAAATCTACACAAACTCTTTCAAGTGACACTTCATTAAAATCATTGCAAAACTGTGGGATGTGTGCCTTTATTAAAAATTCCTTACCCTATTAAATATTTAGACAAAATATGTTATAATGCACATTTTTAGAATTTTAAATATTTTAACATATATTCCTAATTTTCAGTACATATTTCAATATAAATTTTGCTACTTGATGCTGCATTTTAATACCTTCTCTAGTGACAAATTTCCTACAATTGAACAGTGCTCAGTGAATTCATGATGAAATATTGTCTGTTAAGAGTAACCAGTGTCTGTCCTACAACACTGTTTTGAGGTGGAAAAGAATTCCCAAACTAATCACATATTCTTAATAGATATGGGTGATTATAATTGATGAAGATACTGTCATAAAGAACAAAGAAGCGCATATTAAATCCTGGAAGACAGATGAACAACCATTTAAATGATGGTGAGTGTAACTGGTATGATAGTGTATGGAAAATTGTATTTAATGAACTGAACATTTTAATGGCACAAGCTAAACAGCACATAAGTGTCTCAAACTGGGCTACACAATTACTCACTCTTTTATAAACAAAAACAACATAACCTCAAGTTGCACATAGTAAAGCATGGAAATGGGCAATGAGATCTTGCAACATTTGCCCTATTCTCCAGATCTTGCATTGAGTCACTTTTTTTTGTTCGCAGAAATGAAAAAACTAGGTTATAAATTTGCCAATTTATGACACCATTAACGACATTAATGAAGTGGTGCTGTAGTTTAAGATGCAATATATAGATGTTATCAATAAAAACATTAGAAAGGTCAAGAATTTCTGGGGAGATGGTGCAACTGCTTAGCTACTATGTAGAGAAGAATTAAGAATAACAAATTAAACACAATTGTCTCATTTTTTAATGATAATTTAAAAAAATATGATACCCCCTTATGTCTTAACAAGTGTAACTATTAAGATTGCAACTTGCCTCATGATCATGTACCTTGCCTGCTGACAAAGACATTGGTTCTACTGTACTTATACTCGCATTCATAGGAGTTGCTCTATTGCTGTCATTTGGAGTAGATTGGAACTTCCCCTGAAGAAAGATTTTTCCAAATATTAAATTAACATTTATACACAATGCTACAATCAGAGCTGTTGACTCTCGTATTCTTTGTGAGAAGCAATAAAGTGCAACAATATGTGGAATTGAAACTCACAAATTATTACCATGTTCTTGTATTTACAGAACAATACTTTATAGCGGATGTGTGATATGTTGTAGAGAGAAGAAAAAGAATCTCCAACTATACATAATATCAGAAACACAAAGCTTCATCTGCTTATAAAATAAGAGAGGACACAAGCACTTGAGATGTAGATGAGGTGGGGGATGGTTAACATCAACTGGATGTATAGTGTGAGAAACAAATGAGTGTTAAGGTAAAAGAGAAATAAAGCTTGATAACTAGTAAGCAGAGTAAGCAGCATTGGACAGGACTAGCGTCAAGATGAGACTGTTTAAAGAAGGAAATTCTGGAAAGCAAGGTGGAGGGAGAACACAAGGGAGGAAATTTATAATTTGAAAGAGATGGATAAGTATATTGCAATGAAGGGAAGATCCCAAAATAGGTGGACGAAGAAGAGAGAACCACCAAGAATGACCTGCAGCAGAAAAGGAAGAGGACCTGCAGCAGGAGAAGAAAATAGAAATTTATCCACAGTGACAATTATTTCTCAATAAAATTTTACGAGATGGTTTACTGAGAAATAATTAGAAGAATAATTCAAGAAAGATGTATAAAAGAATAGTTGATAAAATTTTTAAATTTAGAGAAGAAAGGTTCACTTTTCTGAGAATGTATCTGACCCTTCCAAAATTAGTAGTAATTGTTCTACCATCAAGAGCCAGAGCAGACGCATGGAGTGAAGTTAAAAGAATTTTCTCAAAACAGCATGATTTTATTTTTGTAATTTTCATAAATTGAAATCAATAATTAGTCCCCATATTAATCAGAAACTACTTACTATTCTGTTCTCTTCTATTTGAGTTCTTTAATCTACGTGCCATCTCAATAGTATTACAGCCAGGGTGACACAGTATTCATTAACCAATTTTTCATTCAAGTAATCACAATGATTCAGTTCATTAGGAAAAGACAGGGAGAGAATTTTGAAACTAATTTTCTATAACTATGAAATTTTGAAATAAATTTTTGAAGAAATAATTTATATACAAATACAAGCACTTGAAACCTCAGAACACATGCATGTTACTGCGATTAATTTAAATTCATTCATCACAACCTACAAATAACAGAAAAATTCTTTTATTGTAATGTAATTAAAATAAGTAAAAATGTACCTTATTCGAGACAAGCAAAGCAATGTCAGGAGTGCTTTTCTCATCTGTGGGAAGGTTCACAAAACGCGAACGTTTTCGGGAATCTCCTTCAGAATGGATATCATTTTGTTCAACTTCATCAAGGACAACAAGATTTTCAGCATCCTCATCTGATTCTGGACGTTTTCTCTTCAGTAGAGTTCCATTCATGTCTTTGTGTTTTGTACTTTCTGAATTTGTAGATTTATCAGAATCGGCAGTTTTATCAAGTACAACAGTCACATCAACCACATCTGAATCATCTGATTTTGACGTTGAACAGTTTCCCACCGTTTTTAATACAACTATATCGTTTGAATTTTTCCCCTCAGGAGATGAAACTTGCACATCCACTGAGTCATCAACCGTTACTGTATCAGGAATTTTCTGAGAGGCTTCCTTCAAAGAATAACAATTCAACTCTGAAGTAGGTTTTGAATTGTGATGAGAATTACTCAAATTGTCAGAAGAATTGGTATCACCATTACTAGTTGTTTTGGAAGCATCCAGCTTTGCTACAACTTCTTTATCATCATTAGAAACCTCTGGCTCAGTGAAAGATTGTGTGACTTGACTAGGTGACAAAGACATTTGCAAATGAAAATTTTCCATCTGCGAGTCTTCTTCATAATCCTCACCATTCTCTTCTGGAACCACAGGAAGACTTTGTGGCTTAACAAATGTGTCCTGCTTATCAGCATTCTCAAAAGAAGAGAAGATTATTTCCACACTTTTACGTGAATCTTTTGGTGTCATTATGCCCTTTGATGATTCTCCTTGACTATCTTCATTAATTGGATCATTTCCTTCCTTATCCACTTTTTCACTAACATGAAGATCCTTTTCTTGTTGCACTCTCTCATCAGTATGAAGATCCTTTTCGTGATCCACTTTCTCGTCAATACAAAGGTCCTTTTCATGATCCACTTTCTTGTCAATACCAAGGTCCTTTTCATGATCCACTTTCTCATCAATACAAAGGTCCTTTTCGTGATCCTCTTTCTCACAAATATTAAGATCCTTTTTGAGATCCTTTTTTTTATAAGTATGAAGATTCAATTTCTCATTATTTAAATCTTTTTCTTCATTAACATTCTCAATTGTAAGGAGTTCCTTTTCTTTGTTCACTTTCTCATTAGTAAGGAATTCCTTTTCTTTGTCCGCTTTCTCATTAGTAAGGAGTTTTTTTTCTTTGTCGACTTTCTCATTAATAAGGAGCTCCTTTTCTTTGTCGACTTTCTCATTAATAAGGAGTTCCTTTTCTTTGTCCACTTTCTCATTAGTAAGGAGTTCCATTTCTTTGTCTACTTTCTCATCAGTAAGGAGTTCCTTTTCTTTGTCTACTTTCTCATTAGTAAGACAGAGATCCTTTTCTTGACTTGTAGATTTTTCAACCTTCTGGTCTGTTTTTATAGTTTCTCTTGAACCAACAGTTGCTTCTGCTTCATTATTCTCTATTAATTCTATTTCCTTTTGCCCCTTACCCACTATTTTATTATCTGATGTTTCTTTAGAAGTAGTGACTAATGGAACTTCCAATCTAGGAACCTTGGCTTCATTGCACTCTTCATCATCTTTGTCTATTTTACGTTTCTGTGGTGTTGATACACTCGCAGATTCTATAGGATTCACCTCATCATGTCCTTTTTCTCTGAAAAAACAAAAAACAGAAGTATTTAATTTAAATAAATATTATTAGTACTTCAATCATTAATCTTGGACATTGTTTTTATTTACAATTACATACCTCTGGGATGGTAAAGATGAAGGGATAAAATCTTCATAATCTACAAGACTGTTTTCTGTGTTTTGCTTTACTATATTTCCTGGAGACTGACTTGCAAATAAATCTTCAGGAGAATTGGGAATTTTGGCTTCTGCAAGGAGGACAGATACATTTTAGACATATTAATAAAACAATTGTACAGAGAGTCACAATGAGGATATCCTACCTATTTCCATGAAGTCTATTGTTGAAGCTTGACTTTCATTACCTGGGGCTGAAACAAATAATCATTCTGAAGCAAATCATAAATTGTCACAAAGATACATTCAGTGTTAATTCATTACAATGAAGCTCAAAGGATGAAGTATTTTCTTTCATTATAGAGCTTTCGCTACATGGAAATAGATAAGTATCAAGTAGATTGATAAATTGGTTCTATGGTAAATCAACCAAACTCAAATAATGTCTGTCACAGGGAGATTTTCACAATGAAAAAGTTCATTATGTGACAATGATAAAATGGAATTATATTAAATAAAAAAAGCTGGTTAACAACCTTGTACATATGCATGCAAGTGCCTAACTACGAAAAATTATTCTATTATCATAATTTATCAAATTTATAACATACGATCACAATGCCCCATGCACTGGGAAAAATAGCGGTGCTACAATACCACGTAAGATCTTGTATTATTGTGCAGGCTGTGATAGCTCAATGGTCACATCGTTTCCCTCTGCAGCATTGTTGACTGGGGGTCCTAGGTTTCAAGCTCCAACAGTTAAGAACTTTTTGACTTAGCTGTGACGGAATTCAGGCACTGTCTCGTAGAGAATTTTAACGTCAGGCTATTCTATCAATAGTTTTCCTTGATTTTTTCGATCAATATCCAGCGAATGGTGAAGCAGTACCTGAACAAATGGGCCACACACGATCTTTCCTTCTTCCTAGTCCCCCCCAATACACTACACTAACACAATACCACATTTTGAGAACTGAGGGCTTGTCCCAGTTGGGGCAATGGTCCATTCGGGAAGATATTTGGTTTTCTCTAATTTTTTTAGGTCATAATATCTATGGTGAAAATTTACAAATAAAATAATTAAAATTTTGCTTTGTTATTACTTTACATTACTTCGAGTATAAAGGCCAAAGAATGAACTCATCTTGTCTCCTCCCCTGCCAACTTGGTCCACTTCAATTTCTACCACATCTCAATTCAAATGCATTAATCTCTGGTCTTTCAGACAGCTAACATTGTATCACATTTTTTATATCCAAGATGATTCACATGACCAGTAACCATTTTCATTCTCGATGAAACATGGAATGGGTTACAACAGCATAATGCGTGCATCATAATTCTCCTTATTTTTTCTTTTTAGTCCTTGTCTAAACTCTTTGTTATTAATACTAGGGTTTCTGGAGGAAGACAGATTTTTATCTTTGTGATTACCTTGAATATATTGCTGGATTTGCCAAAATTGTTCTCAGAAATGAATGCTCACTGAAGTAGAATATTTTCAAAAACTTATAGAGGAAGATATTGATGATGAGGCTAATTTTGTGAAAGAGAATTGTACCTCTGTCAGATTTATTATAATGAGTTAATAGCACTCAAGTAGCCATGATGTAGTAATACACTGCATCTAAAGATACATTATGTGTGCAAGCCTTTCTCTATTTTAGAGTCGGCAACATATGTCAAGTCTGTTTTGTAGAAAAAGTCAAAGGCTAGTCCAATAATAAGACTAAAATTAAGAGAATCTTATAAAGCAAAAACAAAAAAAAATGTCATCAGATTCTCTCTGGCTACATTACAGAGACTCCTAAATATTTCTTAGATCCTTGGATCTTTTTAACCCTTTCAAAATAATTTTGAATTTTGTCTGTGAACAGCGAGATGAATTTGACAGTATTCCCAAAAACAAATTCACAATTATGAATTGTATTCTGTGTGCAGAGAGATCTTAAGAGCTAGGGTCAAGCTTGAAAGCAATGGTATTTTAAGGCTTTGGAGGCCATGAAGAGCAAATAATTTAGGTTTGTGTAAGTATAACTCCGAATCCTCAACATACCAGTTTCTACTGTAGGCTGTGAGAAAGGATTTAGACTCTGGCAGCCAATACTGAAGTTATGATATGAATTTTAAGAATGAGGCTGACCCTCACTGTAATGATAAATTACTGATTTTAATGATGGAATGTGTTGAGAGGGTTGTTGGTGTTCGACATGGGAGTTGAGGATAATTTCTAAATGTCAAATGTAACAAAATGGAATAATCATTTTCTGAGAAGATTGTCCTGCAACACCAAAGTTTTGTTTTCTTGTTGAAATTCTTTTATGAACCCAAGTACCTACAATTTATATTTTATTTTGTGCCTAATTTCTATATATTGTTTACATACTGGTTTTAAAATGCACAGCTTTTATTATTCTTGTTGTTGTTGTTTTTGTTGTGGTTGTCATCATCATCATCGTCATTATTATTATTATTATTATTATTATTATTATTATTATTTGCTTCACAGTGTTTCAATTGCAGGCATGCCCAAGTCCTTTACACCCATGTACTGTTTTCAATAGAGAATGTATTTATTCCAAAAACGGGTTATTGTTTCCATGAAAAATAACGTGAAGGGTTAATGACAATTGACTTTTTTTGCATAAATGGATATTTTTAGGTTCATAATACATCAGCAATTACCCAATTTTGTGTGCATAAGAATGGCATAATGTACCAAACTTTGCTAGCATAATTGTAGACAAATTTAAAAAAGTGTGTCATTTCTGTTAAATTTAAATTTTTACCAGAATAACAATGAATGAATCAAGACCTCTGACGTAAATAAGAACCAAAGTCCAGATGCATTTCTTGATAATCTAACGGGGTGATTATATATGGCAGGAATTGTATGTGTCATTAGGTTTAATGTATATAAAAACTCATTTTTCTCAAAAGTATGAAAATGGCACTTACATCCATATTTTTTTAAAATCTTTAATTTTGAGTTTAATTTTGCTTAAATTGGACTTCTCTATCTAATATCTACTTAGCAAAACCATTTTTTTATTCTTTTTTGTTTGTATTTTATCTATAAACACTACAATCTGATGATGGGAATAAAACCAACTCCTGTAGCACTGTCTTGCAACTGAAACTACATTTCCAGTTCAATAAACCATGTGAATACAATATCTTCCCAATCTATAATTGTCTTAAAATAAAGGCCATATTCCATGTTATATGTACCACTGAGCTTATCACAATTCAAATCAAATGATAATAAAGAAGTTATCAAAATAGAAATATATTCTTGAGGTATGTTAGTAATTTCTATTACTTTCATAAGCACATTACTGCCCAGCCTATTTGTCACCAGCGGATCATTCTCTTTCCTTTTTCCTTCCCGAATTTCTCTCCGGAAGTAAAATTCAATTTTGAAGTAACACAGTATCCAATCATTAAAATTCAAAAGTATTGGTTTCTCTTTCAAAAATTTGTTTGAGATGACGGTCCACTACCATATTATCTCCCTAGCAATACAACTATTTTTAAAATAAATTTTAAATTTTATATCTATGATTAAACACAATAATATTGGAATATAATGCTCAAAATCACAGGATACATGCCCAACCAACAAAATTTGGGTTTCAGAACTAAACAAAAAAAGCATGTCAATTACAAGGCAGAAAAGTACTGATGTCAACTTGTTTAGTGATAATTATCCCTCACTGAAGTGCTAAGGAACAACTCTCCTGTCAACATTGGATTCAAAGGTTCAGATATGGGAATATTTTGATACTGAGGAAAACTTCTTAATGGCACCAATGTAGTATTAACAAATATTCAGATCCTCATTTAAATCATGAAACTTAATGACTAGCCCGAAAATAAAAAACTAAAATTAGAGTTTAAATTACTTGTAAAAGATGATTTTATTGGAGAATAGACAAGGGTATTAATTAAAATTAGTGACTCTCACTGTGTAGTGTAGAGTGAGTGTGAGCGAATGAGGGTAAGAGCAAAGGCAGGAAGAGACCGGAGAGAAGGGAAGCGCAGACAGAAGATGCAGTGTGAACGAAATACATTGCAAAAAATATTGAAGATTGTCATTTGCCCTAATAATTGCCACTTGGGATGAAAGTATGGGAGTTGGGACAAGGTTTTATGCTGGACCCTGTGTCCCAGGTCCCAAACTTTGGTCCAAAGTGGTAATTTGTATTAATTTTGTATTGATTTTGGTACAAAACTATTTCTCCTTGCCACTTGCATCATTCTTAGTAATATATGGAATAGCGCTAACAGTTTACTTCTGACATGTGTACCAAGTTAGAGCTCAAAAGTGACTAATCTTCTCTAGTTATACATCTCACATGTTTGTGTGATACACACACACAGACCACCACACACACAATGGTAACATGATAAATACATCTTTTTTTGGCACAGGAACACTGAAAATGGATTTTACCACAGGAATTTTTTTGCAATTCCAATACTTTCCCTCTCTATGTATACATGGAAACAACAAGGTAGCCATGAAGAAATTAATTATCAATATTTGATCATGTAGTAGTGAAGTAGCAAATGAGGTTTACCAAACATTTTTACCAAAAATGATACTGAACTTACTGAATTTGTTTACCTGAACCGGAGTAAGCAGACTATTTGCATATTTAATATTTCTTTAATTTATGTATTGGACTTGTTGATTAATTTACAATGAAACAAAATAACAAATAAATCCAAATCCAAAGCATTTTATACATGTCTGTTTATTTTTGAGTGTTTGAAAAACAAAGTCCACTTCAATAGTGAATTTCAATGTCAACTGATGATACAACCATGTCATTGTAAATTCCTGAAATGTTCACTAACAAAAAACACGAAAAGGAAACAAAATGTGTAAAAATGACGGAAAGGTCCAGAAAAATGAGCTACAAATCAAAATATGGCAAAAAAATCCCCAATAACTATATATTTCTATCACCTATATGACGTGATAAACATTCATTTACAAGTTAGCTACATCTAGAATACATCAATGAAAAGATGACATCAGAATCCGAGCATTGGTAATGACAGGTTCGACCAAAAATTTTTTAATTTCCCCTCCCAAAATTTGTCTTTGGATCCAGTCCTTGCTTACGTGAATTGCAATTTCAGACATTGCAGGAAACCTGTAGAAGGTGGGCATATATCTACATGCATTTTTTGACATTAAAAAGCAATGGAAATTGGTGGGTGTGCATGTAAAAGGGGATAAGTCAAGTTTTTGTTCAAACTTAGTATGCCAGAACATTGCTATACTACGATCATTGTTATAGGGGGTAAGTTTTAAATACATGGTGAAAGCCAAAGGTCAGAGTCTTGCTGTCAACTTGAAACTGCACTGAATTATTATTTTGATTCAGAATTAAAGTATTACGTTTACTTTTGGGTCCAAAACAAAATTTTGTACCCTCAAACTGAAAGACCAAGCTCAGAAAAGCATGGATGGCCATGGCGGCAGCAGGGGGAGGGGGGAGGCTTCAGCCCTCCCTCAAATTATGCTACGCGTTCTGATAGAAATGGATAAAACTTACGGATAAGCGATTTTCATGGCTCGCCCTTCATATGCTTTGTAATGCCAATTTACTTTCAAAGGCAAGTTTTTTCACTTTGCTTGCTCAGGTCCAAGTCATGGCAAGGTCTGGGCCTTTGGCCCTTGCATTCACTATAAACATTCTTGAGTCTATCCACTGCATAATTACAAATTCACTTTTATAAGAACGCACTTTTCAAGAATTCAAAGAAGTCTCAAGAATTCAAACTGTGCAGTTGCTGCCGGAGCAGCGTGAAATGCCAATGTAAACGACTTTCTTAATTTGTATACTAGACTTCAGCCGATTAAATTTTCATACACACCAACGAATATGATCATTAGGCCCCTTACTGTAGTGAATGCTGGATTAAAATGTGGCAATGTTCCTTACCTTTTGGATGACGAGATCTGGTGGCGACCTACATGTGTGCATGCAAATGATTCACCACACTGGGTATCTCCCTGAGCAGGGCACCACCCCAGTTGAGACAAGATCTAAGCTCCTGACATGTAAGACAGAGCATGAAGAAAAGAAAATACCATGGTATGGCATTTGGATTGATAATATAAACCACGGAAAACTACTGATCAGAGTAGCCAGATGCTAGATTGTGACTTAGGTAAATGGCTTGTGACGAAAACCTGCCATCACTGGGACTTGAATCCTAGCACATCCCAGTCAAGTCATTACAGTCAAGGGCAATACTGGCGCTGCGCTAAACGCTAGTTGGTACACAGCTAAAGTAAAGTTTAACCTCCTTGTTTAGTTACATAATTTGAGCATGTGTTCCAACTATCCAAATATTAAAAGCATTATTTACTACAAAAAAAGAATGATCTTCTTACCTATGTCGTTCTCTAATTCTTCAGTCTTTCCTTGACTACTAACATTATCAACTTTTGTTTCTTCAACAACTGTCTGAGAATTTTCACTTGCTTCTGGTTTCTTTTCTTCATCAGATTCAACCACAACAGTATCGTCCAACTTTTCAGAAGATTCCATTTGTGCAGAAAATTGATCCAATTCTTCGGCAGGTCTAAAGTGTCAGGATAAATATAGTATTTATAGCTATTATGATATCTACAAAAAAAAATTAAACTACTTACATTTCTTCTATACTCATATTATGGTGTTCACAGTCTTTTTCTTCCGTTCCAAAGACCTGCGTTTCCATTATTTCATCTTTTTCTGAATTCGAATTTAATACTTCTGATCCACATTCTGCATTTTCAATGCCACTGTTATCATTTTCTTGAACACACTTATCTCCAGTTATTATTTGAGTGTTATCTTCATCAAAGGAAGTTTCACAGGTAACACTCTGATCAAGAATACTACTGCTTACAATTTGACAATCTTCTGCAGATTCTAATTGTTCCTCACGATTCTCAGAATCTTCTGCAACAGCCTCCGATTTACTAACCACTATCATATCAACATCACTATCATCCTTGGTGGCACTGTGCACAGTGCTCGAGTCTGACTGATTTGCTTCAGAATCCATTGCTATAAATACCTATATAATAAGAAACCTTTAATTAATTTCCTCCAAACAATCAGAAAAGTGCTTAATACTTGCATAAAATATTCAAAATTACTAAAAAGCATTATTAATTGCGAATATAACAATAAAAAATGACATTTCTTGCAGGAATGACTGGATATGACTACAAAATCCATTAAATATTCGAGGTACATGTAAACAAACTGTCCATACAAACCTTATTGTATTCAGGGATTACTTCGTAGAAAAATCTTCAATCGATATCCAAACACTCGTAAATAATTATAAGAATACTTCAGAAGATTTTAAATAGTTTACTGACATAACGTACAAAAACACAACTTGCCGGCAATCACCGGCAATCGACTACAGTTTACAACTTTTCTAATACACACATTTACACCCCGATTTTACATCAGCACAAAATTACAAAGTTGATATTCACTACACTTATGGAAAATGAAATTTCCCAGCAAACTTCAAGATCGCACGAAAAAAAAAACTAATAATACATAAGCAAAATATTTCGCTTAGTCAAATACGTGTTCTGATTTCCATGATACATCACTCTACACATAGATCTTCACGATGAAAACAAAACACATATGTAATTCTACCAACCACATTTCACATAACTAAAGAAATAATGGTATTTGATGAGTAATTGCACTTTGTTATTTTTCTTTTAAAATTCTTATATACATTCAATATATTGACAAAGTTTTATGATAAAGGGAAATGGCTATTTTGATCACAATTTTAAAACATGTTGATGAATCTTAACTGCACAAGTCTTCTAAAGTTGGTAACGCCAACATTCAGCAATTTGTAGCAAACTATACCCTGTCATAAAGTTAATGATGTCCGATCCGAGGTAGCATCTGAGGCACACGATAGACAGTAGACAACGCAAAATGCGTGATGTAATCGTAATAAAAAGCAAATGTGATAAAAAGTCTGCCTTCATGGCAATCTCCATCATTACGCCAAGGAAAATAATAAGCAGTTAAATGAAAGTATTTCTTAACATTATATTTCAACATATGCTTGAAAAATAAACCAAAGATAAAAATTAAATCATTTATAAAATCGACCTCTTTTCTAGAACTGCATTCATGTTTTCACAACTTTTAATAGGATTTTTCGCAATGTCAATTTAGAAAATGTAAAGGGTAGAAGATGTAGTTCAAGAAGGCTGCCGCAAAAACAAGGGTGAGTGCTCTGTGAACTGTGATAAGCGCTTTGGGTATTAAAACTTCAGTAAGTCCTACTTAAGAAGACTGTATGACTCAACTCCCTTGTTGGAGGCATGGTGGAAGTATACGAAATATATACGTACACATTGGCATCAAACCAGCACACCTGAACTTCTCGCGACATCTCGCGGTAAATGAAGGAACTTATCTCGACTGTTTTCGGCCCAGAAAGTATGTATTACTCGCGCAACTTTTCTTGAACGATGACCTTGCTTCCTCTCTCTGACACAATAAACAGTTGAAGACAAAAGCTCGCAGCGTGCACTGTTGGCAACATTCCAGATACATCTTCACTAGCGCGAAATATAATCTATTTTACGTTGAAGACGAGAACTTATGATCATGATTTTCTCAAAACAAATTAAATAAATGACCAAAGCAGGTGAAGATTCATCACAGGAAATACCTCGAACTCCTGAGAAAATTAGAACGCAAATTATTGAGAAAGTTGAGAAGATATAACTGATTCTCCAGAGATTGGCATTGCTTCATAAAATCTAGTGGCGATTTCGTAACTACTACCCCCACTCTACCCGCATTTCTTCAATCCATCGTTCAAGAAAAGTTGCGCGAGTAATACATAGATTAATATATTCATCATGGTATGAGTTTGTTTCGGCCAATAACGACACGTGTATTACCCGCGCAACTTTCTTGACCGATGGCCTACCTTCCCTCTCCCGGGTACAATAAACTGATGAAGGTAACAGCACATTCCACATAAATTTTCATTGGGGCGAAACAAGTTATGCTATTTGCAGCTGAAAATGAAAATCTTTTTTGCGCGGTGGGTGTGTGTGTCAAAAATACCAAGAAATGGCTGAGGTAGGTTCACATTCTTACAGGAGATTCTTACCTCAAACTCCTGAGAAAGAACATAATATACTTGGGTTTTTATTTCTTGGCGCGTGAGTATTGTCGTGAGATATTCCATCTTCACGATGGAATATCTCACGGCATTTCGCGCCTTTCTCGTTTTTTTGCGTCCAGCATTGCTACATCTAGCCGCAAAACCGAGAAAGACGCGCAATGCCGTGAGATATGCCTCACGTGCCAAGTAAAAAAAAACAAACAAATATAGCTGCAAAAGCAAACTTTTTGATGAAATTGCGAAGGCATGTGAGTTGGAAAAAGAAAACAATATTTTGATGTATACCTTAAGTAATGCTTTGGATCGGATTCTGCTTAACTGGAGAAAGTACTTCGACGATACGGAGAATAAAGTTTAAAGAGTGAATAATCATTTCAAATCCTCAGAAACGACTGGTAAAAAAGCAACATTCAAGGAGACTAATTTATCATTCTCTATGAACCTATATTTTTTTAAATATTTTCATCAACTTTCCGCAGATCTTCGAGTTAGAGGTTGCTTTATAGTATTTTTAACTACCTAAATAGTTAGTCTTGTTAGACTGATACAGTCAATGATAAGGAATTTATATTAAGAAAACGATTCCTTCATTCAGGCAAATGAATTCCGATGCTTCCCAGATCAAGAAATTTTCGTCATGAATTGCAGTGAATAATGTAATTTGAAATTGATTTTCCAAAGTTGGGAATGCTTCAAAAACTCTAGAGAACCCCTACTGTACCCGCATTTCTCCAAATCATCGGTCAAGACAAGTTGCGGTTATTACTTGACCAACGCCATCTACACTTTAGCACAGTCTAATAACTGTGCTAAAGTGATTAGACTGTGACTTTAGTGTTTGTAAATAATTCTAAACCAAAGTATTATGGAGTTTAAACAATTAATAATATATAATTTGGACCGAACCACAAATATTTTTTATTAATCGCGTATATTTAATGTCGGAGCCTCGTCATAAAATTGGGCACGCGTAGGCATCACCGTTCCTTACACTTTTGTTGTTATACATCACGATGTCAATCCACTCACAGGCCCGTGTTGTCTAACGCCATTTTCTCGCGGATGTGGACCGATTTCCCCTCGTTCGTTACGACAAGGGAAATTAATGATCAGCTGTAATCTTCTTCCACGTTGAATTGGAGTATGCACGATGTAAGAGTACCTCTTACACCGTGGGAGTTGGCTTCCGAGAAGTGTCATGAAGACTGTAATGGTAGTCATACACGTTACGATATACTTGCGCAAGTGTAGACTTGTACAAGTATATCTTAACGTGTGTTGGAAGATTTTCGCACTAATTTATAGACTTGTACAAGTTTAAAGATCGTTGCAAATTTCGATTGTAAAACTTGTATAATGCTGCGTTTCCGCAAGTTTACTTGAACGTCTGTGGCAGCACACGTCGCGTTTCAGTAGTAGACAAGCTGTTTTTGATAAATACGTACATCTTGCAGTCGGATTACATGCCAAAAATGACGACTTGTGATGAGATGCATGGAGTTCGAGAGATTTTGGAGGAATTCATTAATATAATTCATAATATATCATTCATTCATAGGTAGTTATGCTAGTCTTTGAGTGCAAATTTCGATTCAGTTAATAAATTGATGTGCGAATACTGCTCTCTTTTTCGTAACCAGTCTTTACACCATATAGAACGACTTCTTTCAAGTCTTTTCAACTTTTTTGCAGCAAATATTAATTCAACTATGGCCAAATCGTCATCCATCGCTGCACAATATACCTGGACGCTCACTACAGAAATGGTACCGTTCAAGCATACTTGAGCCATCTGTAGTCACTTGAAAAATATGTTTGCGCAAGTAAATCGTAACGTGTATGTCTACCATAACGAGGAGATTTAACTCGGATGTGTGCGTGTGAAAAATATTTTCTTGAGTTACAGAATCCCTTCCCGTCATTTTAAGTATAAATAGTTGAAAGGTGAGTAAAAGTTTAACATAAATAAATTGATAAATAAATAATCCTTCTTGCCGTACTACCTTTTCTTTTGTACTTCTCGAAATCCATAATAAAGGTCGGAAATTATTCATGTAGAAAATTTATACAAGAGGCTTGAGAGGCATTATACTAGAGGTTTGAGACGAGAAGTTGCTCAAAGAAAGACGATAGAATCTTCCATGGCACAATGCCGTACCATGATTTTCATCCAGTCACATTATTTACCATGCCAGTACCATGTCTAGCGTTTTAACCACGGAGTAAGAACTATCTTACACCGTATCTTTATACCTTTAACCTTTTGGTATTGTGTACTTTTACCTGAATATGTTCATTCAATGTTGGTCGCCCGGACACTCGAATCACTTGTTGCCAACACTACCGGACAGCGCTTATTTGTCAGTTTTTTTTTCGGGTAGTTGGCAAGTTCGTCCATGGTACAAGATTTTATCATGGTATGACCAATGACGGCATTTCAAATATGGTGGAAGTGGGCTAGCGGGCTGTATTTTCGTGGGTTAGGATTTAATTATGAGGACGGCATTCGCGTTACAAGTTATCACGGACGTATCATTGTGGCTTTGCAACTAATAGCAGCACACGTTTGACGTTCTTGCTATTTTCGAAACGAGTGACAGTGACCTCTGTGGTTTTTAAATAAACTATACCTTTTGATCTTTAAATTCTATATAGGTTTAAAGTACAGTGCAGTGTTGTACAATGGTTATTTAGCCAATTTTACATTTAAGAAGAATGCAGGAAGATCCTTTCCCAGCAGCAGAACGGATTCTTTCTGATATAGAGTCTGTTTTCATAAAGGATCCAGAATTGTTAGTAACAAAATTAAAAATCAACATTTTTCATTCACTTTCACATTTACATTTCAATATTTCATTTCTGAATATACAAGTTATCACAAAGATTTGTGTTTAATTTTGCAATATTTATTTTTAGGAAGGAATTTGATATTCTCCCTATTACTTTGAATCAAAACAAATCTCCTGTTCATCATGTTGAAAACTGTTTAGGATTGGAACTATGGTGTGTTCGACATGTTTATTCTTATGCATATCATCGCTTATTTGATATGCGTCAACAAAAAAACCGTAGAGCTGGTAATATAAATCAAATTCATGCTGTGTATCACCTTAGTACCATAATTTTAATGATTTGTTATAAGTTTTTGGTGTATGCATCTTTGGTTTCAGATCCAGAGGTGCAGTCTCGATTATTAATTGGAGCATTATTACTGAATCCCGATGTTCAGACATTTTGGAACATGCGTCGTGAATTAGTTCAAGCATGTAGACTTGATTGTCATACTGAACTTCGTTTTACTTCTATTGTTTTGTCTCGAAAACCAAAGTGTTCTGAAGCTTTTTCATATCGCAAGTGGATTGTTACAAAATTAGTGACAGGTACTAGCACTATATATTTAAATTAGTCTGTAAAAGTTTTGTGTGTGTATAATAATAATAATAATAATAATATTATATTTAATATACTGCATGGAATTTCTCTGTGATTTACCATTCTGTGGTAGTGATTTTTTTATTTAGTAGGTGTACAAGTTAATCTTGTATCTAAATTTATATGAAATAATATTACCAATTTTTAAAATCCCTGTAAAGTATAGTTTTTTTAATAGATATAGTTTTGAAATGATCAGCCTTTGCAACATTTTGTATCATGAAAGGAGAAAAGAACAGCATTAAGATATTTAATTTTCTGTTAGATGAATGAAATTTTTGATATAAGCTAATTTTTGTTATGTCATAACCAACAATGTGAATTATGGATTTTATGTGATACAACCTATCTGAAAATACTGTTATCCGAAATATATTTGAATTTTCTGGAAGAATTATGTATACAAATTTAACCATTTTGGTATTGACGGTGGGTTTAGTTATGTTAGAAATTTTAATAATACAATAAATTTATGTTTATGTTTGTAGGTGGGGAAAATGGACAGTCCCTCTTAAATCGTGAATTAAATGTGGCAAAGACCGCTGCAAATCGTTATGCTAATAACTACCATGCATGGCAGCATTGCATATGGAGCTTGGTGCACCTTGCACCTTGTGACATGTATCCTGAAATACATCTGGAAGAATGGACAGCTACTCGAATATGGGTATCCATGCATATTTCTGACCATAGTGGTTGGCAGTATCGACAGTATATTCTCCAACAGTTATGTGGACCGCTAGGAAGTAAAATTCCTCATACTCATGAAGAAAATTATTTGTATAGGTACATTCAACCCCTGCTTCACAGTAGCAATGTGACACAGAAGCCAAGTGATTCTGATTCACAACTTCCAAGTGCTAAAGGTGATCCAGACCAACCATTTCAATATCCTTTTGCCGAGGACATAAAAAAATGTTCCAATATGAGAATAGTGCAGTGTTTAAATTTTGTGTTATCTGAAATTGACCTAAGTACTGATTTAATAACAAGATATCCAGGCCATGAAGCATTGTGGTATCATCGGCGCTTTCTTCTGTCTTTCTTAAAGTCATTCATAGATCAGAATAATTGTATTATTATCAGTGGAGAAAATTCTGATTGTAGAAAGCACAAAAACACATTCTCAAGTACTGCATTGAACAACTATGATTTGAGTGCAGAGTGTGTTTCATTTCAGTCACGTGCAAGTGGAGGTTCTTCTGGGGAAGTGACATCATCATCTGATATTCATGTTTTTGAAATAATTAGAGAAATGTTGTACCTAGTTGCCCAAGCAATGTCAAAACATGAGAAATGTTTTGTTAGTTCATGTGTTGCTGGAGATGAAAACCAACAGAGATTCTGTTCTCAGTATAATACATGGTTAACTCAAGTGTTACGCCTTTCTGTTTCTACATAAGATATAAGGCTGAATTCATAGTCGTCACTTATAGGATAAGCGAAGCCTTAAGTGATAAGTGCTTTCTCAAAATAAGTGTTCATTTACAGGCGCTTGTATTTCATAGACGTTCCTTTCGACCGCGGAGTAAGTGTTCTCTTAAGAAGAAGGGAAATGTGACCACATGGCATTGGCGGCAGCTGTTTCGACGTTTTTTGGCAACCAAGTTTACACACATACATTATCTTGTGCAAAGGGCGTCCAATTTAACAGGGGGAGGACACTCCAATGTCGAATTGACGTTGTATTCTGCGACCACTTATCTCTCTCGTTTGTTGTGTTTATAATACTTAACATCAGTTTCAATTGATTTCACATTAACTTATGCTCTAGTATAAATAATGTAAATGGTATGAACATAGGCCTGCCAATATTGGTAATGGATTATTAACATATCATGTAATAAAAATGTCAACCCCGTATAGTATTAACATACATTCCATTTTACCACAATTTAAATTCACTTGTTATTCATAATTGTAAATTCATAATTACTTATAATAGGTCTTATAAATAAGTAATGAGTAAAAGTTAAAAATTTTGGAAACATACCTGAAAGTTGCAGAAAATCTCAATGCAATGAGAACTTTTAATAAGGGAGAAATTGGCAGTTCTCGTTTAATCATTGGGACTTCGTCGATTGTCAGTTTAAGTATATGCAGTACAGTAGTTTTATTGAAACAAAACCACTTTCAGAATCGTTCATCATTGTACATTTCCAATGGGTTGCTCATATCTTTTGTATATCTCTTTTAATTTCGCAGTTTGTGTTGAGTATAAAACTGAAAGTAATCTTGAATGTCCTTTTCCATAACATTTCACAAATTGAATGTTTTATCTGGCTTCACTATATGAATACAAGCAAAATGAATTCGGTTGTCAGACAACGCGGCGTTAACTAGGTTAACGGCTAAACTGGTTACGACTGACGATGCAAGGGAGCCATAAGGGACACTTAAAGGAGCAGGCTGCTTCCCTTATAGGAATGAGTGCTCACTTAAGACTTCACTTAAGGGCTGTTTATTAATATGATTTGTGTACTTAGGGAACACTCAGTGTAAGTGACAACTATGAATTCGGCTCATATTCATTTAAAAACTCACTGATTATATTGTATATATTTCCTTATGAAATTATGTATGTTGGTTGATATTAAACTTTTAAAAATGAAATGAGCATTACATGCAATTGTTTTGCACAATTTCTTGAATTTAAAGATCTGTTACTCTTGAAGTATTGATTAAATGCAAGTTGTATGCCAGTTTTTTGATTTTGGGGTTTAAGACAACCTAATATATGCATACAATAAGCTATCTAATTAGATATAAACAGAGTGAATTATGCTAAAGATGGCTAAAGAATGAATGATGTTTTCACTAACTGGCTAAAAAAGGGAAATTGTTTGAATTTTGAATTCTAATGAAAGCAAATTAATTACTTTTGCCCCAGAAAAACGATATATTTTCCAATTAAATAATATGGCTAAGAAATGTGGATTGTAGATAATACATGGTCTTCATTGAGATTTAACACTACCCTTAGTTTTGGTTAATTTACAAATTGAAAAAACCAAATGGAAAAACCCCTTCACTAATAGTCTACTAATCAAAACATGCATCAATTATAAATTGGCATTTTCAGATTCATGTCACTTCAAGATGGAAGTTTTAAATAGACTACTTTATCTTCCATATATGATGGTTTGGTTCAATTTTACTATAAAATTAATTTTGCCTTAATTGTTATACACTTTAGCTACAAGTCATTATTATTATTATTATTATTATTATTATTATTATTATTATTATCATTATCGTTTTTAACTGTGACACTATCTTAACTTTTCACACTTATCACACTTATAATTATTATGTAGTGTGTTTCTCAATAAATATTTCTTTTAATGGTTGAGAATATAAATAATTGATAGTTAACAAAATCACCCTATTTTCTGTTTATGCAGTAAATATTCTTGTGCTTTCTAGACTTATCTAAGAATCGGATCACACATACATCCTTTACATTTAGTTAAAATAGTTTTGCAATACTTGTTATAGTGAAGACATGATACATGTATTAGCCACAGTACAAATATAATGAAAAAAGAATTGGATTTTAAGTCTTGAACACAACATAATCATAATTCTTAGCAATCTTGTTCTCAACATGTATTCTGTATATTTAATTTCTTCTTGGAGAAACCTGTTTTGGAGACCACTTTTCATCATTAATGTATGAAACAGTTAAGTTGTTTAATATCTTTCAGAAACTTCTTGTTAACTGAAAAGGGATACTTTGTCATTGTGGAAATAAATTTAGTGACATTCTTTCATAAGGAAAATATGCAAAACTATGAAAGTATTGATAGAAGGAGAGTGAAAGTTGCTATTAGAGGTTTTCATTAGTTAACATAGTAGAAGGAAATTAAAAGAATCCAAAATGTATTCTCATGAGAAAATGTTGCAAGAAGATAAAAACTTAGAAGAATATGTTCAGCAAGAGAGTTTGCTGAAGGATAAAGCAAGCACATTATAGCTTGCAGAGAAGTGGATCATTATATATTACTACTCTTCGCTAACTGTAAATCAGTATATTATATGACATTGAAATAGTAAATGGAAAGTGGTAGGAATAAATATTTCATACAGTTTTGTTTATATAATAAGAAAGTATCTGCAATTGTTGAGAGAAACAAAGTCACCCGAATGCACTGGAATATATTTTCTCATAACTTTTTAGACCTTCTTTAGAAATAAGTAGATATTTCTCTTCAGTGTCATTTATTGAAATGTTTATATTTTATTTATATAGTTTTTCATTTCTCTAAAACCACAAATCCTGTTAGTGCAGTATAGTAATCGGATGTTCTTACAATAATGTTAGAAGATAAGATATTACTATTGTACATTGTATGATCCTTTTTCAATGATTAATCAGTTGAATTGTAACTATGACAAAGAAAAAAAATGTAGTTTCTGATACTCGGGAAGCTTGTTCTTAAATGCAATGGTTTATACAAGAGATGCTATTTAGAAAGTTTCGTATTGAATATGGCGTAAAGGGTTCCTTAAGATTGAAGGTCCACAGCTTATCGATTCCAATTATTTCTGAAGTAGAAATGCGAGATTTTGTGATGTTCGGTGTAAATTTGCTTTTCTCCTTATGGCTTTATTCCATTTTGGTGCATAATATAGCGCTTGTTCCTAATCTCATCTTTGATACTAATAAGCATTAAGGTGTGGACAGAGTAAGTTGATTTTTAATTATCAAGGAAAAAATAGAATTGACTCAATATGCACAGTATTATATAGGGAGTTTTTGTACAAGTGAATCATAAGAGAAGAGAGTGATGCACATAATTCTCTAGTAAATGTGTTTAGATGTTGCAGTTTACTGCAACAATTGTGCTCTTGCTGTACCCAGCTGAGTATTAGGGATAATCTTTTAAGATGCTTCCAGGGAATAGGTTACTAATGTATACTACAGAATAATTCATCTACATTTAAGATGGGTATTGTGTGTTAATGAACAAACAAACTTGTAAATATGAAGTTATACAAAAGCAATTTTACTGCACATTGTATGGATTAGGGTGGTGTTAAAAAATGAAAGTTAAACATTTTCTCAATTTTAACTCTTGGATCAGTTCAGAATAAAAAATAAATTTAAAAAATTAGAAATGAGCTGTGCAATATTTCAGATCATTAATAACAAAATCGTAATTTAAAAAGGACTTGGAAATCAATATTTTTCAGACTTTCAAATGTTCTAATTCTAAAATGTGTATCCTGTACTTAAAGAGGTAGCTAAACCCAAATCCAATGTCAAAAATTTGTTTTGATTTCTTTAAAACTCTCATTTTTTTGTAAAAATTATATTGTATTGGATAGTTATGATGAAAGTTGTCAAAACATAAGAAAATAAAAAGTTACATTCATATGTTTAAAAAAAATCACAATTTCCTATGTTAATCCTTTTTAAATTTCAAACCTTGAGAGGCATTTAACTTTCATTTTTCAAAGCCATCCTTGTATGCTCATTTTTTAAGAACTTATATTATGTTATCTCACAGAATAACTTGTTCATTATCAGCTAGTTTCAGACAAATACTACTGCTGCATGTTTACTAAGTGATTCATTAATGTGACTGTACCCAGGATTCTGTTCAGCCCACGAGTTGAAAGAAATGTATCACCTTTGTGGCAACCATTTCCCTTCTGTGATAGTAAAGTATAAATTAGGAAATAAGTACAAAATGTAATTACTTCATTACTTGTACCATATGGTGGTCATATTGGTGATATATTTTTTATTTAAAATGAGAGGGAATTCTTTGCTAGTTTTCTACACATTCCAGTATTGTTACTTCAGATTATGTAAATATCTGTGGTTCAGTTTTGAATAATTTCCTTTGAAGTGTCCCTGCAGCTATTAATGACTGTGGTTATTGTATTTTCTTCACAGAAAATCTATCTGCATGATGTGTGGTAAAGTCCATTATGCAGTCTTAGCATTATAAACCAACGTAGCTTTCAGATTTCTTAATGAAACTTGGATTGTACAGATAAGTGTGTCAAAAAGCACTACTAATTGCAAACATTGAGATAACTATCTCTTCCCATCAATTTTAAATTGTACATCTTTGATGTGTATCATAATCTCTTATGTAAACACTTAAGTTCATTATTTTTTAATCAAAGAGTTATTGTATATTTAACTGTTAATTTAATTTGTCCTGTGTTTTTATTAATCTTTCCGTCTCATTTTCAATGTTTGCATTGGGTAGTGATGTTCGGTTCGTGATTGTTTCCTCATACGATGTCCTAAAATATTTACATGTCAGAAAACAACTCCAAAAAGAAATAACAATCTGTTGTATGTCATCTGACCAGTAGGCAAAAGCTCTAGTGTACTTGTTGGGAGTGTATTGGCTGAAAAGAAAGACAATTTCTTGTCTTGTTCTGAGCAAATTATTCTAACATGCATTCCTTTTTCACTGTCTACTTCGGTATGAGAATAATTCATGTACCTGGATGTGCTTAAATATTGATAATAGATTGTATAATCATTAAGAGAATGAAGATAATTTGTTTAACTGAAATTAGGTTTTTTGTGTAAACTTTTCCATATGCTTCTATAATAAGATTGAAATTATATGATAGAAGTACTCAGGTTTAGCTGCTGTGTTATTTTAAGTCTCTTTAAAGAACATAAAATCAATATTTCCTTGTTGTGCCAAAACTTCTATATTAATGGAAATAATTCAGTTTATAATATGACCATACATTTATTCAACTCATTTGCTGATATCCTTCTTTTTCTTAAGAACAAAAGAGTAATGGCATCAAAATTTGTGATATGTTTGATAGATTCAGGAAATTCATGAAAAATTTGCAACTATCCTATTTTTCATGAAAAAAAAAAACAAACAAAAAACCCTTGTAAAAACAGATAAGAATACAGTGTTAATCTTAATCTCAAAAATAAAACAGTATCACAAAATTACTCACAATATACCTAAACAGCTAAATCTGGTTCCCTGCACTGAATTTTGATGGTGCTGATTAATGAAATAATTGAGCTATTATTTTGCTCTATTGTCATGTGTCCTGTTGAAAATTGTGGTCTAAGAATATTTTATGAAGTCTTTCAATTCATTGTATCATAGGAAGGTGCTCAAAGTATAGAATCTAAAAGAGCAAATGTCTTAGGATATATCTTAAGATTCTCGTTACTTTTGTGCCATAGATTTAAATCTTATTGCCTCTGTGGAACTTGAGATATGCAATAAAACTGGTTAATAAATTTTGTTATGCAGTTTCCCACTTGTATTCACTTTTAGGCATAATTACTAGACTTTCTTATGCCAACTTACCGGCTTCACCTTACTTTTGTCATTCTGCCAACTTTTTGCTAGTTCCCTCTCGTGATAACTGGATCACTCACACTAATTTGAGAAAATTTGGCCTTTATGTCCAAAATTTTTTAAATATTTTTTCTCTGAAGAGTATGAGTAAAAATAAAACGTTCTTTTTGTCATCTTTCCCAAATTGTTTTTAGAGATTATATTAATTTCCGAAAAAGTGATCGCATTGCTAATGTTAATTTTTAATTTGTGTTGAAATTATGACAGAAACTTAATACTTTGCGACATTGAAGAGCAAAAGATGTTTTTTCATTATGCATTACGCACAGGAACTCCAGATATTTTAAAATAGATAAGATTTAGCCGCTTTTCAACAAAAATGAAATTTAAAATTATTGGACAATTTCTTTTTTGTCGGCTTTTTCACAAATATTAGAGACTTTTTTACGTACGAATGGAAACCTTTCTTAGCAAACAACACGCGTTTTCAGATTATCAACATGGGTTTCAAAAATAAAAATATACGGAAACACTCACATTTTCTTTTTTTAAAGATGTCGCCTCATCCATGGATCAAAACAAAGCACCTATTAAAATATGTTTAAATATTTCAATGCTTTTGACGTCATTGATCATAACTTACTTACATTTACTTTCAAAATTACTTACTGGAATAATGGAACATAATGTACACACCTTTCCGATTCTTTGCCAATTGCATGTGGAGATCCGCAAGGATCGATTTTAGGTCCTATTCTCTTCCTACTACACGTAAACGATATGCTCTTGCAGATTAGAAACGGAAGAACAGTTCTCTTTGCGGATGATACAAATATCTTTTGCAATAAAGGAACCGTAAATAGTACAATATCAGTAATTTCAAATTGATTCCGTAATAACAAATTAATGGTAAATGAAAAGAACACAGTTTCGATGCAGTTTTCCATTTCAAATAAACAGTTCTGTACTCCATTAAAAATATACGGTGTGTCATTGACAGACGTTAAGGTAACGAAATGTTTAGGTCTTTCAATTCAGTTAAACCTTAAATGGAATGTCCATTTAAATAAATTGAACACTAAATTAAGTTTTTTATGCTACCCTTTCAAAATTCTTTCAAATTCAGTCAGCCTTCACACTGCTTGTATATATTTCACGAATGTTCATTCCCACCTGAGATATGGCATAATATTCTGGGGAAATACATTTTATAGCTCCGAGGCTTTTAGATTACAAAAAAAGAATTGTACGAATAATCTGCAAATCGTACCCACGGGATCCTTGAAAGCCTCTCTTTATTAATATAGGTATCATACCATTACCTTGTCTCTTCATATAGGAATCACTGGTTTTGGTTAAAAATGACTTAACGGCGGGAATATATTTTCAGCAAACGCTTATATCTATAACTTCAACATTCAACTTAGTAATCATATTCATCAGGTGGCAGTATCAACTGCTCACTACAAAAAGTTCACACACAACATTGTACGTTGTACATTATTTTACAACACATGATGACTAGACATAAAATATTAGACGACATTAAAAGATTAAATTCCATACAAAAGTTTGTCCTAAGTAAAACCTTTTCTGCTACACAACTATTTCTATACAATTTGAGACTATACTGAGCATCCAAAAGGAAAGTAACGTTAATTTTAACAATGACATTTAGTGTATTATTTACCATTTGAATTGTATAATTCTAAAGAACCTGTAAAAAGTATTGTACTTCAGCTTCTGAGTCAATGAACCCCATCTCGATCAAGTTTTCATCCAGTTTCCCTTGAGCAAATGCTGAGATGGTTTTTCTTCTGGACATAAATGTAACTTCAATTTAATTACTCCCCAAGGCACGTCACACAATTTTTAACTGTTTTTGACGTAAATAAAAAATAAATTTCATAAATTGGCAGGGGGTGCTGATTTTAGCATAGAATTCCCCCTTCAAAACTGTTAAGATTTGGTCTCGGCTCAAGTTTTCGTACATCGCGTATTTTTTGGACTTCAACTTGAAAAATTCTAAAAAGTACCATTGAAATTTCTAAAAAGTTCTACATAAGTTTAATAAGTTAAAAAGTGGGACATAAAGATGATTCTGAGAAATTAAATACAATAGAAATGTCTTCTTACTGTTATGCTGCATCGTCTGCTAGAGCATCACCTCTCCAATCAGCAAATTACCATCAATATACTTTCACAGAGCAATAAATAGACGTGTACTTTCCAGTGGTGTCTCCTGGCTAGTAGTGTAACGTATTAGCCAGCGTGCCTCGTGGCATCTATTTGGGGACGCTTGGTTGCGGATTAGTCTCGCCACAGGAAGAAGGGTTTTTCCGTAAAGGGAAGAACGCGGAGACGAGAGACACACGGCTTTGGGTGTCTTCCGGCTTATAGAAGCTTTTCACTGTTATAACAAGCGAGGGGGTGGCGTGACGTAGTAGGTCACGTGGGCCTCGCTTATATAACAGAGTGTACGGAGCCAGTAGGCGGGTTCTGGAGACGGTGGGAGAACCTCGTGCGTGTGCACAAAACTTGGCGCCACGACGGTGCATATGCGAGCCAGGCTCGCGAGGCTGGAGTCATTAGTTGACGAAGCCTGCGGACTTTATGTCCTTGGATGACTGCGGTCACGGGGGAGCGATGCTGTTTGCGTGCTCCGAGGTGAAGAGTGGTTGAGTGCCACGATGCACGCCGATTCTCAATCGGATAAGATCGCTCCTGCGATCGAGGCAAACCAGCCGTTGGTGCGCCAGAACGGACTTTGTGACCCAGCGTGACATCCGGTCACGGAAGCTAGGCTTTGTGCGCGCTTCAAAAGGGGAGTAACGAATGCCACAATCAAAACCATCTTCAATCGGGTTTGGATCGCTCCTGCGATCAGGGGATAGTAGGTCTATCAGAGCTAGGGTGTAAGTAGATTATTAAGTGTATATATTTGTTTTGTTTTCTTTGTTAATAAATATATTTGTTATATGAAAGCGCTGTGTCTGTGGTCGCTGTGAGTATCCATGACGCCACAGTAGATGAAAGCACATAAAATGTTGAACGCATAATAGCAAATATTTAAAGTCACCGCCATTCTATTTTTTCTGAAGTATTTTAGAAGTTTATTTTGCAAATTAGATACCTCAATCTTCCTCGAAAATCACCAATTTCTCATTGCATGCACTTACATAAACAAAACAATAAAACAAAAAATTAGCCATAAAAACTACATACCTAATTTTTGAACTGGAGATCTATTCCCCGCTTTCGCGTTACAATTTTTAATTCACGATTATCTTAAACGGATCACTAGTTAGACAAAAGTAATCAGTTGTACACCACTTAATAGACGGTACAACAAACGGAAGTCGTTGAAACCGCCACTTCGAGCCGCTCCGGCGGCAACTGCGGAGTTTGGATTTTGGAAGCTTTCTTGAAATATGCTTTTTTATAAAATTGAATAGGTAATTATGCGGTTGATAGACCCAAGGATGTTTATAGTGAACACGAGGGCCGAAGGCCCGAGCGTCGCCGTGACTTGGATCCGGGCGTGCCAAGCGAGAAAAGCTTTGCCTTTGAAAGTAAATTGTCATTAGTGTGCGACGAGGACAAAGCGAAGTGCAAAGGACGAGCCATGAAAATTTTATTCATTTCTATCTGAGCGCGTAGCTAAATTTAAGGGGGGGGGGCTTAAGGAGACCTCTCCCCGCCGCCACACATCTTTGAGGGTGTACCGTATACCCTACTTTAACCACGTGGTCTATTTAACGCACATGAATACGAAACACCATTTGTTACAACGCGACACACACAACGAACGAAATTACGTCGCACGCACTATTTCGGCTTCACGGAATATCCCTTTCGTACTATTTTCATGCCGATCCGATGGCCGAGATCGCTAAGGCAGTAGTGCCGTAGCGATCATGTGCCGAAAGATCGCGGGTTCGAGTCCCGCCTTGGGCATGGTTGTATTGTGTTCGTCCTTACACCATCATCATCATCATCATCACCATATCAGGGAAGGAAACAGGAAGCCACCCTGAATAATTTATCGCAAGAAAACCCGTTATGGGTCACCTAACTTCTGTATATGGAAGATAGGACCAAAGAAGAATATTATTTTCATATATGAAAGGAGTGATCTTGTTTTATCAGGCCCGCTAACCCTCATCGAATTTCCTAACTGTACTAAATGAGGTTAAAATGTGCTTAAGTATAGTTGGCTGAGTTGTGTTAAGTGAGAGTGAGTAAATAATTTGAATGAAGTGTTTCTCATCAGATTAGCCTAAGTTATAATCATTTGTGATTACAAAAAATAATGACAGTGCGGCAAGTGTGCCTGGTACATTTGCTGCCAGTATTCATGGTGTTTGCCTTGAAAATGCATTCAAATAATTCAATTGAAAATTGTAAATTTTTAATGTTCACGTTCATTTGCTGATCTATTTTTTGAACCAACTGAGGTGACATCCACAATAGCAATGGATGTAACTGGTAAGACTTATTTTTTAATATCTTTTTTTCTTTTTTCTTCTTCTTACATTTATAGTTTATCTGTCCCTGTTGACAACAGAACTTCAAATAGGAAAGATTTTTTGAGATTATAAATGTGCATAAATTTTGTTTTTGTGATATTCATTTTAATTACTTAATAGTTCGATGGGAGACTTTCTTACCAGCATTTTTTAGTTTTCAGATCCTTGTACACAGGCAGCAATTCAAACGGAAAAAAGGAAGTTTCTTGTTCGAAGTGTGTTCGAAAAGAAACGGTAAGTTCGTTATTGCACGGGTGGTATTAGTCTGGATCGCGCGATTGTTTTCTATTGTGTTGGTAAACATGTCTGAAATGCATCTGCACACTGGTTCCATTGTCGGATGGTTAGTCTATTGTTAGTTATGAAGCAGATTACGTATGTTTGCTTGAGTAACAATTTTTGGTTAGTTGAAAAAATGATCAGAGAATTTGCATTAAATTTTGCTATAAAACGAAATAAAATGTAAC